GTAACTTAAACAGCTACGTATCCTTTCTCTTTTCATTAAGTAAATCTTGTTATAGATACGTGTCCTTCCAAATAGAGAGTTAAAATTTTATTGTTACTGAAATCGTCTGTTCGGCACTTTAGGTTTATTGTAAAGAGCCATATATTTATAAGTATTAAAACTGTATACATATAAATAAATGTTTGTTGCCAAAAAAAAAAAAAATGTACCTAACACAGCATAGACACAGGGGGATAGATTTGCGTTCATTATCGGACCTTCGAAGTAAAAATTGACAGCACATAATCTAAGCATTTATTACTAAGAGTGGTTAGCCTGCCCTATTATGGACGAAATTCAGGCCGACGACCTGCAACGCTCCTCGCTGACATTCCACCACAGATAACCACCTGGCACCTGGATGACGCGAAATATGGCACAATGTATAACACAAACAATAGACGAGTGCACACGTATCCGAATCCCGGCGACATTTGGCCACTCCGCTTATCTGAGACGCAAACAAAGCAACGCTGTGAGAACAACGGCCGTGAGGTGCGCGTGAGTCAGCAATGACGTCACCGTGACGCGGCTGCGCCTGCGCATCCGACCGCAACATGTCGCGACACGCCTGCTAGGTCACCAGCGGAGCGTGACCCTCGCTCTATTTACCCATCGCCTTCCGCCTACTGAAACAAACTGCTAAACAGTAACAAATGAACAACTAATATCTGAGTAACTAAATATGAAATGATGAGTTACGTAACCCACGACCGACCGCTTTAATCTTAAAGCTGTGCCTGACAACGAACATAACTTTAACTGAACAATCAGAAAAATAAAAAATCCAATTCGTTGAATAAATGATGATGCCAGCAGCTGTAAGCAGGTCTCTCGTCCACAATTAAAACGGCCTAAGCATATACACTAAGTTTTAAACTATTGCATTCCATAAATCTTCATACATACATATTATAAACAGGGTTACTGGTTAACTTGACCTAGATACTTTAAGTGGTTGTAGTTGCCATCATTTTCAAGATATTAGAGTTTTTAGGTTTTTTATAAAAATTGCTGAAATTTTGTCCAATACAACTTTTTTAGAACTTATATCTTTAGTTTGTTCTTTTTATTACTGTTTTTGTACGAAGAATATGCTGATGTTCTGATTTTATACGGATACTGCCGATGCGTATCCGCACGAGTCACACAACCACCTCTTCCAATCTATTTATCACGATAATTAGAATCCATCAATTCCTTTACACTAACAGTAGGCAGGTAACAGTAACGCTGACCTTCACCTGCGCAGAAGTCGATTTTTAGGTCCTTTTTGAAGTAGGACGGGGGGAGGGGGGTTATAACATATCGTCAGCCAGTGATTGGCTCGCCGATATGTTCGCTGCTCCTGATTCGTTTTGTCGTACTTAACTACGACTTAATAGAGTCTTTCTTTTTCTATTAATAATGTAATCATTTCTACTTTTTCACTATTCATCAATTTAATTTTCGGGTAGTTCAGAATTGAGATTTTTATGAGGGTGATTTACTTAGATAGCGAAATGTATTCTCTAAAATCTACCTATAACACAATACGACGATGAAGGAATAGGGGCACCGCTGTAAATAAGAAAGTGATTTGATGGAAGCTGTCATTCCTATTTTACCCTAATCATTTTATAGGGAAAATATTTTTTAAACAAAATGAACTTACGTTTTTTATTAAAATTTTAATTAAAACTATTTTCTCCAAAGTACCATAGAATCAATGAGAAGTTACGTAGTAACTTTACTACTTAACGTCTTATGGTATTGACCTATTTTTATTCTATTCTGACTAAGAAAAAAGAAATAATAATAAACGGGTGTGCATTTTATTTTGCCTTAAGTGCACGATGCGCAAAGCGATCCCCATCCCCACTCTGTCGCCGAGCGCTCAAGATCCGTGCCGGCAACTATACCCGCCCTTCCAACGAGCGTTGTCCGCAGAGGTAACATTCGCTGAAATATAAATCTTCGATATCAAAGTAACATAACCGTTATAAATGCACGTAAATGACGTAAAAGACAAGTTCATGATGAGTACAAGTTAAAACCCAACGTTTCCTTTCCACAAGGCTCTAGTTACGAACGACGTCACAAATACTACGTTAACTGTCAAACTTAAATGTACACTGATAATAAATAATTTATTCATTCTTATTCTTTCATTCTCAAATATTTTTTTTTCCTCTATCACAGCTCTACATAAAGTCCTTTGACAGTTTGTCTTTCAAATACATGACATTGGCGAAATTGTGGTTACACTCTACCACAAAGCCATTTAACCAAAAGTTGAAGTTGATAATAAATAAGTATATAAAAATAACCTAATATAAAATAGGTATATCACCTAAAATTTAGAGAATCATTAACTATGTTATATGCTCTATAAACGTGTGCTTATACTCGTATGTGTTGCGGCGCTACGTATGCTTACTAAACCTGTCCGTGAGTTTTAATTCGTAAACATTTTTCAGGCTAAATGCGAGTGTCGCATTCAAAACGACATCGTATGTGTCAACGGTTATTAGACGTGCATGTCGATAGAACCGATAATGTTGTTCAACGCAAACCAAGTACAAAGAACTAACTTTTAAATTTTAATAAACTTTTTAAATATGTTCACATGAAAGTTAAATGTAGCGACATCTAGTAACGTGTTAATGAAATAACAGGAATGCCAGCAGGCTAGTTTACAACTGTGACAAGAAAATGGTCGGTGCGACACTAGGTTATAGTATAAACTCATTATCGTCGTAACAATGCTGGAACTCGAAAGGACCCGCGCCATTAAGATGCTTTACGTTCAAGTTTAGATGAAAATGCTCAATTATAGGAGCTAGAGCCAGCGAGTGCTCTTAGATCAAAATCAATCTCATACTATATAGTAGAACTCAATTAGAACAGAAGAAGTAAAGAACAAAAGCTAAGAAAACATAAGAAATATACAGTAATAAAATTACGTTGAATTTATTTATAGAACTTGTGAGAGCGTAAGTGAGGGGATTTCCTAAGCTCTATGACAAAAAGTTTCACTAAAAAAGTACTCAATTTGGTTAACTAGGGCGGCGGGACGGACTCAAATATTAAATAATATTTAATATTATTAAATAATAATATCAATAATAAAATAAACTAGAATTCATGAAAAATTAGTTTTTATTTGAGGCTACGGAACTCTTCATATGCGAGCCCGTGTTGTCCGGAACCTGCTTGGCTAACGTCAGCAAATCAATCCGTACCGCGACACCCGCCCTGTGCATCGGCGTGCGAGACATGCTGTCCTAGACAGGGCTACTTTTATTTATTGTTACGCTTGTTGTGTTGAAACTCTAATTGATAATTTTTCTGAAAAAACGAACCCCTATAGATTCTAACATCAGCTATTCTGCCAAGTGAAAGCCTCGTCTAATTCGATCTTCCCGTTTCGGAATATTCATAGAATAGTCGGCACAAACAAACAAACCGGTTATACAAAAGAAAAAGTTTATTAGTTGTAAGTAACGCGTGCATACTCAAAGTTATTGTTTGAGTATTACAAACATACATTACTTATTTGTACATGAATGTAAAGATTAACAACTTTTCTACAGAATTTGGGTATTGGTTTCAATTAGTCGAATGGAATTTTGTGTAAACGGGCAATGCATCCGCACATTGTCGTGTCAGAATACTACGGCAACTCGTACATTTTATTCATTAGCTGCTGCTAATGCATGTAAGGTTTATGCTTTTGGCAGTACAACAAGAGTAACAAGAGTGGCATTAACTCGAATCACCTCTATCGTTTTAACATAAACTTAGATTTAACTAAACACAATAAACAGTTATAACAAGATAACTTGTCTGGATTAATTAACATAGTAAAAAATGAAAAATAAATAATAAACAAAACATTTATACAAATGATATAATTTAAATACTGGTCGTTGACACACGTAACTAATTGTTCTGCATCGATTCAATAAGACGGTTGTACAATATATATTGCCCTAAAATGCCATAGAAAGAGGCCGAAGTCACTACCAAAAACTTTCATAACAAGTTTCCTCCTCCTTTTACATGAGTTTATGTCTAGGTATGTTTTATATGAGTTCATGTCTAGGTATGTTTTATATGAGTTTGTGTCTAACTAACCCAAAAAAGACACAGATTTACGCGTTCACCGCAAAAAAGATACAGTTTGTCGTATCACCTCGGTTTGCGAGCACCTCCCCAACTCCCTCAGCCATTATCGGAATCCTAGGCATCGACATATCAAGCGAAGTCTAGTTTCGGGGTTACCTAGAGGGCAAGGTCAAATTAGCCTCGAAGAAGCTCGGTGTGCTGAACAGTTGTAGGCGGTATTTCACTCCGGCCCACCGCCTCCAACTCTTTAAAGCGCAAGTCAGGTCGCATATGGAATACTGTTCTCATCTCTAAGCATGAAACCCCAGTACCAGTTTTTCCCTCTGAACCGCATCAAACGAAGAGCGACCCAAATCGTCGATAGCCAACAGATCTCCGATCGGCTTAATCCCTTGCCATTACGTAGAGATGTAGCTTCACTCTACATTCTTCGTCGTACATATCCTGGAGAGTGCTCCGAGGAATTGTTCGGACTAATACCGGCCACAACTTTCCGCCATCGTTCCACACGGCAAAATTTTTCATCCCCATCACTCGGATAGTTGGCACTCCACCACTGTGAGTTTTCCAAGACATTTTAAGGCTGAAAAAATTTTCAATGTTTAAAGTTTGAAGCTTAGTAGATTCAATAAGGATTCAATAACTCGTATTGTAGCAGAAGATTTCTTTCAACTAGCGCCATTGGCCGAGCACTGCGTTCATAATTACTGTTATATCAGATGTCGATTGTTTTGGTTTGTGTCTGGACCTAAAACATTTGTTAACAGATAGGCTTAAATGGACGTATCTTTTGATAAAGTAGTACTTATATATTCTGTACGTAAGTATAGTAGATTTCTCTCTTTTTTCAGTGTTGAAGGTGATCGCCGTACTGAATGCCATGAGCAGTAACTACTCAAGTCGAGAAAGGCGAGCGTGACATTAGCAGCGCGCGCGCAGCCTGCACTCGACCTGCACACACACGCTCTCGAGGTGTGTTTATGTAACTATAAATTTATTTGATGTTATAGATATAATACTACTTAACAAGGTCTCAATTGAAAGATGTGTCTACGAGAATAACAATATCGGACTCTTCATTAGATACATTGAGACCAATTTAATGAACTGTCATGAAATGTTTCCTTTGGCTGTACTACGTTTCGGCATTGCAATAACCTCGAGCTAATCGTAGCTTGTCAGGCCTTTCCACTTGTCCTTTGCTCCATGTGCGTATCGAATCAACACCACCACCAACAAAATAGAAATCCTTACTAATATTATAATTGCGAAAGTCTGTCTGTTCTTGCTTAAACAGCTGAACCGATTTAGATTAAATTTGGTATAGAGATAGTTTGAGTCCCGAGAAAGGACATAGAATAGTTTTTAGCCAAGAAGTTATCCTTCAAGGGGGTGAAAAGTGGGGTGCAAGTTTGTATGGGGAATTAATAATCGCTGATCCGAGTTTGGTTCTGGAGAAAGTACATAGGCTACTATTTACCGCCATAGCCGATATAATATGCGCGGGAGTAACAAAATAAAACCTAGTAACAAAATAAAACACTATCTTCTTTACGTAAAATAATGTGTCACTACGATTATATTGAGTGGAATATATCGTTAGTTTTTGCAAAAAAAAATTGATGTTCAGCTCCAATTGATCTAAAGCCTTCCTCGACAAATGTACTATCCAACACTAAAATATTTTGAACCAGTAGATCCGAGACTAGCGCGTTCAATCAAACAAACCAACTTAATTTTGTATAATGGGACATTTAACAGTAACACGTTAGCTAATAGCTACTTTAAAATTAGAGTAAATAATATATTGAGTGAACGTGCAACCCACACCAATGTCCGCCTTATAATATATATTTTTTATAGAAATCTTTATTTTATATCACAGGTACATTATATGTATAGATGACATAGTTATCGCTATTTAGTCCGGCTTTGTCCCGCCCATTGGGCATACAATAGACAAAATTATTAGAATATAGACTAAATATACAATAAAAAATAAAATTTGTTATGTCAATATGGATCACATTGTCACAGAATTTGTAAACTGGCAATAATAATGTAGACAAACTTATAATAAGAGTAGAGAACCCTGAACACATCATGACTGGGGTAGAGAGTAATGGACCAGAGACCTGTCGGTCATGTAGTCGGGCGTATAATAACATTTATTTAGCAACATATTAAAATTAAAATTAAAATTTCAAATTCAAATTATTTATTTTGCAGAAAACACTGTTACAATGGTGTTAAAAAATTTACAGGTTTCAAGTGCTTCTACCGTAAGGCATGCAAAATTATACAGTGTAATTTATCAAGATCAGAATCGGTCAAGTCATGTAGTTTATTTTTAAACCTAGTAATTAAACATAGGCTTTTTAAAAATTGAAAATTTAAAGTAATGAAGTGTAAATCCTGCGTTTTTTTCATTTTCTTTTCCTTTCCGGGTGGAGTGGTTTGTGTAATGGACTGCTATTAGAAAGGTCGCGAGTTCGATTACAAAACATTTGTGTACATTAACATTTAATATTTGATTTGGTCTGAGTGTTTATATGTATAATAAGTATGTATTTACAAAAAAAAGGTATTCACCTATGTATTTTTTTCTCGTATCAGTTACTTTTAAATATTTGAGTTTATAATATTAGTACAGATAAATACACTTATTGTTCCAGTTCGTCGGTGTGGTGGCAGTGACATGTGCGTGTTGCGCGCGTTGCTGGTGCTGTCCACGGTGTGGTGGTGTGCGCGCGCAGGACCCGGCCCACCTGCTGCAACTCTCGCGCTCCCGGAACTACGCTTCACACACGCGCTATACAACCTGACCATTCCGGAGAACAGCCCTCCGCGCACCTACGCGGAGCAACCCCCGGCCGACGAACCCTTGGGCGTTCACCTGCCCGTGCCCGATGCCAGAGTTCGCTTCCGCATACGACATGGCGATAAGGATAAGTTCTTTAAGGCAGAAGAGCGCACCGTCGGTGACTTCTGTTTCCTATCGATTCGCACGCGCGCAGGTCACGCTGACGTACTTAACCGAGAACGGCGAGACTCGTACCGGCTGGATGTACGGGCAACCGCACATTTACCAGGTGGACATACGCTAGAGGCGGATACCGCAATCGCTGTGTCCGTTGCAGATGAGAATGATCTCAGTCCGTTGTTCTACCCTACGGAATATGAAGTTATGGTCCCGGAAGACGCGCCGCTTCACTCCAGTATAGCATGTGTTACCGCAGAGGACGCTGACTTGGGCCTTAACGGTGAAATCTACTATAGCCTCGCGGAGTCCACCGACCGTTTCACCGTACACCCAACGACCGGCGTCATCACTATCACTCGACTACTGTCCGCAGCGGAAGCGGTTCGCCATGAGTTCGTTGTCCTAGCACGGGATCGAGCCTCACTTCTGACACGTGGCGAAAATGCACCAGCTGCGCGTGCCACGGTAAATGTGCGCGTCGTTCGCGTAAACCTGCACGCTCCTGAACTACGAGTGCGGCGGATGCCCGAGCTTGTCGAAAATTCTACTGCCGAGATATATGCCATTATAGAGGTTAGCGACGAGGACTCGGGTGAACATGGGCGCATCGCCTCGCTTGACATCGTTGACGGAGATCCAAATGGGCACTTTCGAGTGCGTGCATCGACCCAACCCGGCGAGTACGATGTGCTCGTTCATGCTCTACTTGACCGTGAGACAGCGCCGACCGGCTACAACCTAACGCTACGTGCTGTGGACGCGGGTCGTCCCCCGCGTGCCTCGTACCTCACTTTGCCGGTGACACTGGTCGACACAAACGATAATGCACCGGTATTTAGCCGAGAGGTGTATGAGGCAAGTATCCCTGAAACTGTACCACCTAATACACCGGTCATAAGGCTAAAGGTAAGCGACCGCGACGAGGGTCGCAATGCACGAGTCTACATCGAGGTTGTCGGGGGTAATGAGGGAGAGGAATTTTATGTGAACCCCGAAACAGGTGTCTTATACACTGCCGTGCCCCTAGATGCCGAAGAAAAGGCTCTGTACACACTGACTGTATCTGCAATAGACCAAGGCAATGCAGGAACACGTAAACAGTCATCCGCCAAAGTAAAAATTACTGTATTAGATTCAAACGATAATAATCCTGTATTTGAAAATGAAGTAACCGAAGTATTGGTTCAAGAAAATGGACCAAGCGGGGCCGTAGTAGCGAGAGTAATTGCGCGAGACGCCGACTCGGGAGACAATGCTTATATTTCGTACAGCATAGCCAACCTACAACCGGTTCCCTTCGATGTGGATCATTTCTCAGGTGCAGTGCGAACAACACGTCTACTAGACTACGAAAGTATGCGACGAGAGTACACGCTACGAATCCGCGCCAGCGATTGGGGCACACCATACCGAAGACAGGCAGAAATGCGCCTCGTGGTGCGACTAGAAGACGTCAACGATAATAGGCCTCAGTTTGAACGTGTCGATTGTGTGGGATATCTGCCTCGACGACTCGCCATCGGTTCTGAGATAGTAACACTCTCTGCCATCGATTTTGACGCTGGTGATGTAGTATCATACCGTATCATAGGTGGCAACGAAGACAATTGCTTCACACTCGACTCAGGGACTGGCGTCGTCAGTCTGTCTTGCGATCTGACAGACGTCAGATCCGACTCTCGCACGCTCAATGTAACAGCAACTGACGGAACGCACTTTGCGGATGCCACGTCCATGACCCTTCACCTGGTGAGCAGCGGTGGTGACAGTGGAGCACTAGAGTGCCGAGACACAGGTGTAGCTCGTCGCCTTACTGAGTTACTAGGTGCAGCCGAGCGCAGCAATGCACCTCTGGATCTAACCGACGAGTTCTCGTTGGCACCATCCCGTTACGGCGAAAATCTCCATGCTCCTGAATTTATAGACTTCCCAGTCGAAGTGAAAGTGAACGAGTCGGTTGCACTCGGTACTTCACTGGTGAAATTGAAAGCCCGCGATCGCGACCTGGGCTACAACGGCCTCCTCGTTTATGGTATCTCTGGTGGCGATGCCGACTCCGCCTTCCGCATCGATCCGGACACGGGCGAGCTGCAAGTCATCGGGTACCTAGATCGCGAGCGAGAGAGCGAGTACTATCTAAATATTACGGTCTACGATCTAGGATCGCCGCAGCATTCAGTGTCGCGACTATTGCCCGTGACGGTTCTCGACGTCAACGACAACCCTCCTCGCTTCGAGAAGACTCTTGCAAGTTTCCGAGTAACAGAAAACGCACTCAACGGAACCGCGATATTCCATGCGAACGCTACCGATCGCGATGCGGGTACGTTCGCGTGGATCACGTATAGCTTGAGCGGCGCTGACGCCGGTGAGTTCTGCATCGACCGCACGTCGGGCGTGCTGGCGGTGTGCGCGGCACTGGACCGCGAGAGGCGCGCTCTGTACGAGCTCACGGTGCGCGCCACGGACGGAGGTGGGCTACACGCCGATGCGCTGGTGCGCGTAGCCGTGGACGACGTGAACGACAACGCTCCGCGGTTCGCCCTCGGCACGTACGCGGCGCGAGTGCGCGAAGACGTACCTTCGGGCACACTGGTCGCAGTCGTCGACGCTTTCGACCCAGACCTAGGTGCGGGCGGCCGCGTTACCTACTCGCTCCCAGACCAGGGGCCCGACGATGTTGTGTTCACCATCGACGCCACCTCCGGGACGCTGCGCACCGCTAAACTGTTAGACTTCGAGGAGAGACAGGTGAGCTTCCCCAATCTTTACAATAATTAGTATAAAAATGTCAAATATATGTAAATTACGATCTAAGAAATTGAGAATTTAAGTAAATATTGGCTTCTTATTGTTGTATTATCCTTACGAATGATAGATTGTATTAATTGAATTCAGTTCCTGAAAGTGGTTATTAAATTTATAAATGCATGACCATTGGATTAAAATTAATGGTGACAACAATTTAATAAAGTTCTAGTAAGCCTTTGCGTGCAATGGGAGAGGCCTATGTCCAGCAGTGGACTGATAAGCTGATGAAGTCTTTGCGTTATAGGAACCTTTCCTATGGGAAAGGTCCGCTTATCGTTGAAAATGTAACTTCATATCATAGCAATAAAAGTTTAAACCCTTGAAGTTTATCTTCATTAAAACCTTCAAGAAAAGAGCGTACTCCTTCCTAAAAGGACGGCAATGCGTTTGTGACTCCTGAGTTGCAGACGTTCATGGGCGGCGATGGTTACTTTCCATCAGGTGACCCGCCTGCTCGTCTGCTTCCTCTAACATAAAAAAAATAAACTTATTAGTGTAACGAAGCCACAAACTAATAGCGTGTAATGTACGGTTGCAGGTGTACGGAGTGACGGTGCGCGCGACGGACGGCGGGGCACCGGCGCTCTGGGCCGAGGCGACCGTCATCGTGGAGGTGCGTTCCCCTCGCTGCACTCTACCCTTCTTGCACTAAATGCTGATGATGATACTCTAATTTTGCATCACCTCTCGTTCGCAATAAATTTGTTTGTTTTTTTTTTGCTTTCTTGTTTACAAAATACCATCTAATGTGATCATGCTGTGTACGCATAATTAGGGACTTAGTTTAAAATAAAAAAAATAGATTATAATATATTATAACCTTATTGTACTATTTTGCGTAGCTAAACTTAATAATTAAATCAATATTACTAATTCCGCTCGCGCATTCACAACCGTGTACTAAACGTAGTGACGTCGCCATCGGCAGGTAGTGGACGTGGACGAAAACTTGCATGCGCCGGTGTTCGGCTCGCACGGCGTGCTGGCGGGCGGCGTGCGCGAGGACGCGGCGCGCGCCGCCGTCGTGCTCACGGCCACCGCCAGCGACGCCGACCCGCCCGGACGAGACTCGCGCCTCGCCTACTACATCGTGGCCGGCTCGGGCATGGCGCACTTCTCCGTCGACGATGCAGGTACGCACCGACACCTACCACCGTACCTAGCCGTCGGACTTTCTACAGACGTTGCAAAATTCATATTTACCGCGGGTTCGGTCGTCGTACTACAGTGACTCGTTATTGTCCAGGGATAATTCGAACGCTGACACCGCTGGACCGCGAGTCTGTGCCCCATTATTGGCTGACGCTGTGCGCGCAGGACCACGGGCTGGTGCCGCGCCACTCGTGCGTGCAGGTGTACATCGAGGTGCTGGACGTGAACGACATGGTGCCGTGGCCGGAGCGCTCGGCGTACTCGGCCGCGGTGCCGGAGCACTGCGCCGCCGGCACGCGCGTGCTCGCAGTGCGCGCGCACGACGCCGACGCCGGCGCCTCGCCCGCTAACATCACGTATTCCATCGTCGCCGGCAACCCTGATGGGCTTTTTTCTATAGACGAACGAACCGGTACGTACGGCAAGTCTCGCCGGTCGGCGATTAGATAAGTGAATTTATCTACTCTTTGCAACGATGTTCCCGCATTGACCGATGACTTAACTGGCTCCTCTATACCGATCGACAGACGGTATGCGAGGTCCTACTATTAAAAGACCTCGACGAAACGGTTATATTTATGATCGTAGGTGAAATAGTGACGACGGGCCGCACGCTCGACCGCGAGGCGGCCGCCTCGCACGCCCTGGAGGTGCAGTGCTCGGACGGCGAACTGGCGAGCACTGCGCGGGTCACCGTGCGTCTGCTCGACATCAACGACCATGCGCCTACTTTCGCTCAGCGCTTCTATGACATCCGCGTGCCGGCGCCCGTGACGCACTTCGACGATACCCTGCCGCAGGTGAGTTGGACTGAGTACGATTCGAACGGTACCGCCGACATCCTAGTGCGTCTTTAGTTTGTCTCGACGCTCATTGATATCGAATTGGTGCTTTCTGTGTTATCGGTTTACAGTACAGCGGGGTCCGACCGGTACCGAATTCGGTAGCCAACTAAAGTTATAACATTTAAGTAGTGTGACCTCGTCGATTATCTTTCGTTATTATCTCGGCAACCGATGAGACTCACTGGGATGTTCGGACACTGGCATGCTCATTATTTGGTTTTGTGTCGTGTGTTGTGCATTTATTAATATGTACTAAAATGCAGTTGTGTTGTGAATATCATCACAAATTTTCGTAGCGTGTGGAGTGGTAGTGTGTAGCGTGTGCGCTTCCGCAGGGTGACGGCGGCGGTGCCGGAGATGCGGGCGGCGCAGGGGACGAGTCCAGCACGGAGCTGGACGCCGACGACGAGGACGAGGGCTCGGGCGCGCGCGCCCCCTGGGACCTTTACGAAGATACGACGCCCCTCGGGCTATACGTGGCCACGGTAATGACTCCGAACGACGTAGATAACGCACGTCACTCGCACCGCAATATGCATAAAATTGAGATTGGTAATTTAGAAAGCGTAGGACGACGCGAAGGTAATATAAGAACTGATGAACGGTGATGATGAGGGTGGGTGATACCTTAAGTGAACGTGGGTTCGATCCTTGCACGGCTCGGCAGTTTTTTTTCTCATTTTCCCTGCCGTTCTCCTTAAATCTCGTACTGCGTACGAAGCTTCGTATCGGTCACTTCTGATAGTTATCTTATTCGTATCGAGCGATTTGCCTTAATCGATTGTCAGTTCACCGAATCGCTCGACCCGACCGTGCCGACGTAACTCCCTAGTTCTGGTGAGTCGTGGGCCTAGAACGGCCTTCCAGATAAATTTTGTAGTCAGCGGCATAGACGCGTGTGCTATCTACGCGTACACGGAGCGGCGGTGCCGCGGAGAGTGAGCTGCGAGTGTGTGCAGGTGGTGGCGTTCGACGGCGACGAGGGCGCCAACGGCTCCGTGCGCTACTGGGCGCGCGCTCGCGGGGGGGCGCGCGGCCTGCTGCGCGTGCACGCCGCCACGGGCCGCCTCCTCGCCTCGCCGCGCCTCGCGCTCGCGCCCGGCGACTCCTACGATGTCACCGTACGTATTATTCTTGAAGTGACTTTGATTAGGTTCGAGCTCAGGTAAGTAGGTATGCCGAGCGCTCCGCTCGTATTATTATAAAATTTAAAATTATTATGTATTATAATATATCGAGGTAGTTAGCATAAAATGGCAGAAGCCGTGGACGCATATTATTTTTGTATGTACTAGATCAAAACATTATCCATATTAGTTCTTAAGACGTTATCGTACAAAACGTCGTTTGTGTTATTTAAAATAAATAAATAATAATTACGGCACGGAGTGAACTAACGAACCCGGGTGCGGGCAGATCCGAGCGTGCGACGGCGCCACGCGGGCGCGCTGCTCGGTGGCGCGCGCGCACGTGCGCGGCGTGCCCCGTGGCGGTGGCGGGCCCCCCGCGCTCGCCGCGCCGCCCCCGCTGCAGGTGGCGGAGCTCGACGCGCCTGGCTTCCTCCTCGCCGTGCTGCAGGCCACCGACCCCGACGCAGACGCGCTCTACTACGCCATCGAAGGTGAGTCGCCGATCCCGAGCGCCCGCGCCCTACGCACCTCCACACCTCTCATCGCCCGACCGTTTCGTGTTTGTCAGACGGCGACCCTCGACAGGAGTTCTACGTGGGGCGCGAAGACGGAAGTCTAGTACTGGCCAAACGTTTGCTGTGGGAGAGGCAGGCGCAGTACTCGCTCAACGTGTCCGTCACCGACGGCCTTCACGTCGTCTACGCCTCCGTGAGTATCTACGTCGTCGACGCTCACCGCCGAATTAGAGAAAATAGGTTTCTCTAATTTGGTGATAGGACGATTTCGAATATATTTCAAAAATATTAATGAGCACCTCGGGTGAACGTAGCCGTGCACGGCACCGGCGATAAACCTGTCGTTCTTTCTTTTGGCTCGTAGAGTATACGATGCGGCGATTATATTATTTACATTCGAGACACGAACACGCCGATAAGTATAAAACCGGTATCCGGCGAGAAACTTTCGTGCACTCTTCACTCACTACTGAAATAGTAGCGAGCGAAGAAGTGTGTTCACGTGGGTGGGTGGCGCAGGTGAACATCAGCGTGATCAACGACGCCAACGAGGGCGGCGTGTCGTTCGCGCGCGAGCTGTACGCGGTGGAGACGTCGGAGAGCGCGCGGCCGGGCGAGGCGCTGGTGGCGCTGCGCGCGGGCCCGGCGGCGCGCCTGCTGTACGGGCTGCACGCCGCGCGCGCGCCCGCCTCCCTGCCGCTCTTCCGCCTGCACGAGCTCAGCGGCGTGCTGGAGCTGGCGCAGCCGCTGGACCGGTACCTATTTAGCTCCCCTTTCGTCTCGCTCTCACCGAGTGACCTATCAGAACGAACGAAGCGAATAAACTTGCGGTCGCTTCAGATTAAATAATGATGATGAAATAAATTATTTTACGACGACGACGATACAGTTAGGATAATGTAACATTATAAATTTATTAAAAGAATACAGTCGGCGATGTCGTGCCACCGTAATTTCATGAGATTACAGTGGTAGATATACCGTAGATGTACCATGGTACATCTTACATAGATCGAGGTAGATTCCGGTTGACAAGGGACTTTCTAATGAATACATAAATATGTTATGAATATATTAGGTCTTTACCTATGAAGTTGGCAATTTGCATGAAAATTTTACAATGTTTGTTTTAGCTGATCAAAGCACTGATCAAAATTATCTAGATAATCTTACCATTTTGATGGCAGTTTGTTTATCTCTTTACTGTAAGTCTGCTGGACGGGAGGCGATGAAATCAGCGCAAGCGTTTTGTACTGCCTCTCCGAATGTTGAATTTTTCCCACGCCACTTAGAAAATTATCTGAATTTTGGAAAAAGTCACAATCTCTCGAGACAAGGTCCGGTGTTGTTTTGACACTAAATCCAAAGCCCGCAGCTATCTCGGTCGCAGATTTAGTTGGATCCGCTTCCACTATCGCCTTCGATTCGTCTTATTTCATAGGTAAAGATCTATTATTTCTGATTAGGAAAGAGAGCATCCGCGCGACTTTTCCATGCACATTGAACGGTTCAGAACAAATTGCACAGTAAAGAATTAGTAACTTTATTGTTTTTTTTTAGTTTTAAAACGAGCGCATAATGAATCCTAACGCTTTAGATGTCTCGCGACTTCCGACAATTTAAAATATTACATTCGGCGCAGGGTAGCGTTCGGCGAAATCGATTATATTATAATTAAAATAAAGAAAGCGTATCGTACGGCGTGACACAGGGAGAGCGCCGCCGTACACGAGTTGACGGTGTGGGCGCGCGACCAGGCTCCCCGCGCGTCCCGGGCCTACACGCGGGTGGTGGTGGTGGTGCACGACGCGGACGAGCACGCGCCCTCGTGGGGCCGGCGCCTGGCCGAGGCGCGCGTGCCGCGGGGCGCGGCGCCCGGCGCGCTGGTGGCGGCGCTGCGCGCGGCCGACCGCGACGCGGGGGACGCGGCGCGCATCGTGTACTCGCTGGCGGGCGGCGACGCGGCCGGCCTGTTCAGCGTGGACGCGGCGCTGGGTGACGTGCGCCTGGCGCGCGCGCCGCCCGCGCTGGGCCCGCGCGACTACACGCTGCACGTGCGCGCCGCCAACCCGCCGCCCGCCGCGCGCTCCGCCACGCTCCCGCTGCACGTCACGCTGGTGGAGCCGGACGACGCGCCGCCGCGCTTCCTCGGCGCGGACTCGTCTTGTGAGGTACGACAGGCCTACGCTCTAATCGTTTCATTTTATTGAAAATATCGGTTATAACAACGATTTGTGGATCACACAGTGTGATCCCATGAATACGTATTTATTGTCACCAGTTTATATTCTTACTACATGTTTTTTTTACACTCCCTGCATCACGAATTGCACGAGACTGACTTAATGTCACATGGCATTATTTACCAGTCGACCTTAAGACGGTTCAGACGGTTTATATATCTTATGATGATCTAAATGAATATATGCTTATATATTGGCGTGTTCTAAACACCACATGGAGATCGAACCTACACACTCAGCGTAGTAGAAAGCGGAGAGGTGATCGCTTAAACCAGTACGCATTCCGTGCAGACAAACTTCGATCCGTCGATAATCTTCTCCGGTATGGAGATTTGTGGATGAGGAAAATCGGATCTAGCTACCGTATGATTGAGCTACCATAGAAATAGTTGTACGACAACTTCGGACCGTATTTTCACGGGTTCGGATCGGACGTGGTGCAAAACCGCTCTCAGGAAACGCTATACTTTTCCGTCTCCAAAATAAAAGGTATACGAAAACGAGCCTGCGGGCGCTCCGCTGCTGACCCTGGAGGTGCGCAGCGCCACGGCGGTGTGGTTCTCGCTGGAGGGCGGCGCGGGGCTGTTCCGCCTCAACCCCGCCGCCGGCCTGCTGGCCACCGCGGCGCCGCTGGACTACGAGGCGCAGAACTTCTACAACCTGACCGTGGTCGCCATCAACATGGTGAGTCAATATTTAAATTACTCGTATCTTTATTTCATTGTGGCGACTGCCACATACAAAAAACAGAAACATACTACAACGCCATCTAATGAAGACACACCGAACTACGGAGTAAATACTAAAATAAGAATTGCTAATCCTGTATCGCGATATAAAGAATTCCCTCGCCGATTAGCATATATACAACTTCCCAACATCGACCGTTGGGCCGAGGCCCGCCAGGCATGATCACCTCGCCTGGTCGGAGGATCCTCCCTTTGTGTTGGAGAGACATGACACCCGTTCCTCTACATCATAAAAATGTTAAAATTGATTGAAAACGTCTTTTATGTAGATTCTTAAGTCGTATATCAACACACACGATAGCAACGATCTCTGTTTTGTTGTTTTTCAAATAGTAAGGACAAAAAATTTAATAAAAATTATGCTTATACAAAATCTATGATATGCCTGTGCCGATCCACAACCTCCCGTTTCCAAGGGGTTAAGCCTTATGAGAAGAAAGGGCCGACAAACTCATGGCCACTCTTTTGCAATTTACAGATAAGTACCATGGCATCATTAAATATACCACAACATTGTTCCGATGTGTGCCAGTAATAAATAAATAATGTAAACAGTTACCAGAACAGTGTCACTTTTTACACATCTTTATAAATGTAGAGTAAATACACATTTAAACTCATTACTGAACGTAGCAGATGTTTTATGGATTTCATCGCCGCTTACCAAATGTCACCAAAATGTGGGCTACATGCCTTGTTTTGCAATATCAGGCTGAAATTTCTGAGGAAACACGCAGAAGCGTAAAAGCTCCCACAAAAGTAGTGCCATTGTCAGAGTACACGCGCCGAGGTTTGCCCCGATGGCTGATGAAACGAACAGACCTTAACCAACCTTAGTGAGGTCGGAGACCAGCTCCAGATACACGCCTCTTACTGCTAAGAATATGAAAACACAAATGTATGAGTATAATTAGTCTGCAACCCCTACCCTTTGGGTCGGCTTTCAGCACTGGTCCGGCGTATTCAAGTTCCTTGTTTAAAAAAGGAAACTCAAGATGTGTTCTGTCACTAGGAAGGTCGCTCCCTATGACCTGGACAGGTCGATCTTTAAATCTAGCACGGCGAACACCATGTCATCTACAGTGTACAACCGACCGAGCGAGCTAATTTTCAATGGAATCGTTCGTTATTTGATGATTTTGATATTTTTTTACTACCGGCTGTCTATACAGTGAACTACGAAGCTTATTATAAAAAATGAAACGCAGGGCGGCGGGCGCGCCTCGACGAGCGTGGCGGTGCACGTGCTCGACCGCAACGAGTTCGCGCCGACGCTGCGGCGGAGCCACTACCGCGGCCGCGCGTCCGAGGCGGCGGCGCCCGGCGCGCTCGTGACCGACGCCGACGCGCCGCGCGCCGCCCCCGCGCCGCTCGTGCTGCTCACGGACGACGCCGACTCGCCCGCCAACCGCCAGCGCGCCTACGAGATCCTGCAGCCGGCGGCCGCCGCTCTCTTCCGCGTCGACTCCACCACCGGCGCGCTGCACCTGCGGGCGCCGCTCGACTACGAGCGCGCGCGCCGGCACGACTTCAGCGTCAGGGTACGCCGATATCGCACACCCTTCCTCCGTCTGATACCGTTACCGATGATGCTAGTCCCGTTTCGATAAAAAAATAGAAATTATTAATGATGAATTCGATCGTTTCAGGTCATCGACATGGGCACTCCGAGACTTCCGTCCGCGAGCGTCGCCGAAGTTTCGGTCGAGGTGATCGACGTTAACGATTGTCCGCCGGAGTTCACTCGACCGGTTTACGAAGCTACGGTGTTGCTCCCCACGTGGGCTAACGTGACCGTGTCGACCGTCACGGCGCTCGACCCCGACCTCCCGCCCGACGCGGCCGTCAAGTACGACATCATCGAGGGAGACGCGGAGGGCGCCTTCGCGCTTTCGCCCCGCGGCGCCCTCGTAGTGGCGAGCCCGGAGGGGCTGCGCGACGCCTACCGCCTGCGCGTGCGCGCGTCGGACGGCCTCTACTCGAGTACGGCGCGCGTGGAGATTCGGGTGCGCGAGGCCGACAACTCCGGTCTCGCGTTCCAGAAGGCCGACTACTACGGCTCCGTGGTGGAGAACTCCACCAAACCCACGACCGTCGCCGTGCTCAACGTGCTCGGAGCCGCGCTCAACGAGCACATCGAATTTCGTATATTGAATCCCGTCGACGGATTCGAGGTGAGCTTTACTTCACGACGAGTCTCTTAAAATCGACATAGTGAATTTCGAGAGCGTTTCGAGCGACGGCATCCTTTACCTTTCTCGTGTGACCGGAAGACGCGTGCGCAGGTGGGGCTCACGTCGGGCGCGGTGCGCAGCTCCGGGCTCCCGCTGGACCGCGAGGCGCGCGACTCGTACGTGCTCGTCGTGGAGGCGCGCAGCGCGCCACCGCTCGCAGAGCCGCGCGTGGCCCGCGCGCGCCTGCACGTGTCCGTCACCGACGTCAACGACAACTGCCCCGTGTTCGTGGAGCGGCCCTACGTCGCCGCCGTGCTGGCCGGCGCCGAGCCCGGCACGCCCGTGTTGCGCGTCAAGGCCGTGGATCTCGACGCCAACGACAACGGCGAGGTAACGTCCCCCGACACCGTCGATTCTATAGATCGTATAACTCTCGTCGATCGATCGCGACTCGAACGACCGTTCGAGCGGTCGATCGCCGGAGCTCGCGTGACCGTAGCGTGTCGCAGGTGCGGTACGAGATGAAGCGCGGCCACGGCGAGCTGTTCCGCGTGGACCGGCGCAGCGGGCAGATCTCGCTGAAGCAGACGGTGGACGCCCACGCCCAGCCGTACACGCTGGTGATCGGCGCGTTCGACGGCGGCGTGCCGGCGTGCGGCGCCAGCGCGGACGTGACGGTGCGCGTGTGGGGCGGCGGCGCGGCGCCTGCGTGGGAGCGCGCGCACTACGCGCTGAGCGCGCGCGAGGACGCGCCGCCCGGGGCCGCGCTGGCGCCGCCGCTGCGCGCCACGTCGCCGCTCAACCGCCAGCTCATCTACACGCTGCTGGACGACGCCGACCGGCTCTTCGAGCTCCACTTCGACACCGGTAACCGACCCGTGTTTAGTGTTTCGCCGACGTCGATGCGATATCGTCACCCGTCCTCGTCGTCGAGCTGATCGTTTGGCGTAATATTAACGGCATGCGCCACGCGTATCGTTACGAGTAGTGATGTGCCGGATATCCGTATCCGTATCCGCGGATATCCAAGGGAGAAGAGAGATCCGTAACCGTATCCGTATCCGTGACTTTTTTGGCGGATCTTTCAATACATAGATGAAATTCTATATAGGTGATTTTTTATTCACTAAAACTCTTAGGTATGTGTTTGTAACACTATAAACAGTAACTTTTTGTCTGGCCAAAGTCAAAATGAAAAAAAATTGGTCCTCCATTCAAATGACCAATCAAATGTTGTTAGTTTGTATGGAGAAACATTTTTTTTCTTTCGTTTTCGGTGTTAGTCCAGAAGAAAAGTTGTTGTTTATAATGTTACTAATATGAACTTCAGAGGTTTTCAGTAAATTTAAAATAACCCTGAATAATGGTTATTAGGTAGCTATGAAAAACTATTGAATTCTGTTCAGATTACTTTTTATTTCTTAATACAAATATTTGGCACCTTTGTATTGTAATCATTTATCGTACTACACTAAATCAACTAGGCAGGTCGTAGGTACTGAAAGAGCTATCTTTATAATGAGATCAATCAAACATCTTTGTATTAGCTTATTAAAATAATGAAATATTTAAATATCAACGGCAAAGCGTTAAGTGGCGACAACAATCAAGGTCACGGGCTCCCATTGAGTAAGAAACTTAAGATCCGTATCCGTATCCGCGGATCTTGACACCAAATATCCGTATTCGGATCCGTATCCGCGGATATACTTTGTTAACGATCCGGCACATCACTAGTTACGAGTGACGAGGGATCGGCCGATCGGTGGTCCCCGCGCTCGAAGGGTTCCACTTATAGTTGGCCGGTCACATTAAACGGAGCGGTGCACGAATACTAATACCTAATCTTTAGTCTTAACGAGCACGATACTTTCGGGTGCATGCAAATTATTTATACGAGGGAGTTCGTAAACTGGTCGAGTGGTTGTAAAATACGTGTAGTGTTAAAACGTCAGTAAAGGAGCCACGATCTGTCTTTTCTAAGTGCAGTAGTGACGGACACGACTACGCACCTATTATCAAAGCACCGTGCCAGTGTTAACACTGAGAAACGTTTACGTGACCTAAATGAGGTGGTAGTTTATCTGAATTAGTCATGTTGCGATATCACTTTGTCAAAAAGTGTGTGGTGTTCCTTCCCATTTACTAAACCTTGTGCCACCCTGTTTTCTGAGCTGGCATCGTTTGTCAATCCAATATGAATATTTTAATACTATCTGGTGTATGCGAATTCGTCGGCGTGGAATTTGAAAAGCGCTGACTTATTGGGTTCGATTCCCGGACCGGGTAAAAGTTTATAGGGTTTTCCTGAGAGACAAAATCACCAAAGTCACTCCTTTATAGAGGCAGCCCGGTAGTAAAATATCAAAATCGGTTCACCCGTTTTGAAGATTACCCGGAACAAAGAAACAGACAGAAAAAATATTGAAACTGTTTTTTAGGCATAGGTGTCGAACAAAAAACCGTGTGAACTTAAAAAACCTATTATTTTGACATCACAAACAGACACTTCAATTTTATTTGTATATATGATGAAAAATAAAAAGAAGTGAACAACAGTGGCTCGTGCGCCCCGTGTTACTGCGCGCCAACGGTCCGCGGCGGGCGACAACACGACAGTAGCACAACAGTCGTGTAGTCGAGCGCTCCTCACACTGCGTCACGTGTATTGCTAGACACCATTCTAAGAGCTCCAAAATGTCTCTTATCTGTGTAGTGTAAAACGTTTATTAGTTAGCTGCGAGCCGACTTCGGTGTCAGTAGTGTCCGGGGTGATCGGTATCGCTAGCCATTTAGACTCGACATTCGACCCTGGGTGTTGGGTACACTGATTGCGTAACTAACGTGTTCATTTTATCCGCAGCACCCGACAGAGGCAATAGTCCATGTGAGTATATCGCCCGCGTCCACATCATGTTCACACACCCCCCCCCCTCCCTCCCCACTCGCAACACCCGCTTCCCGCGCCGCATGTCTGTGCTCTGCTATCTCTGTCACGCGCCGCTCGCGCCGCTCACCAGCGCTGCCCAGCGCTGCCCATATCAGCTCATTTCGTTAATCGCCTAAGTCACGAATGACGTTAACATTAATGGATATTTTGCACGAGGATAAGAACTAAAGGTGTTCGTATCGAGTGCGCCGTCGATATAATATATCGTATTGTGTATATTATGTTCAAATGGGTATACTAGCTTCGCTTCTTATATTTACTTTACTTTTTTCTGCAAAAGGGGGTTTAACCTTTATCAACTACAGTGTAGGAGTCATATTTTCAAAAATCCTTTCTCGCTCTATGAGAAAGTACTCACTACACATCGGGTTTTGCAGTATTTATGAGGCATTCTTGACTTCGTGTTTACAATACTGAGAACCCATTGTCTAATTTGTAAATACAATTGTGATCAAAATACTCAAATTTCCTCGATACTTTATAAATTATAGTCAAATAATTTTATTCCTCGCGACACAGAATATATTCCTACTGCGGGAGTTGTGAGTTGCGGAAATATATAAATCTGAAACGTATAAAAATAAGTAGTCATTACTTCCACTTTCATCGCAAAATGTTTCACCAGGCAACAATGAGCTATGTGCCATTGTGTGAACACCTACGTGATGATGGGCCTACAATTGCGCATTGCATGGCCCATCACTGGCCACCGTGTACTAGTCAAATATACTAATTAGGGGTTTCTTCAATTAATTGACTATTATACATTATATATTCAACAACCTTATACATTAACAGTCACCCTTTATTACTTGCTACAATTGCGTGCCAAACTAACTTATACACAAAGATGAGCTCAAGAAACAAACATTATTTCGTTAAAATAAAGTATTAGTTAAGACCGAGCCGTACGGGGCTCAAACTATAGCAATGTCATCGGTACATTAACATATTCATAACTCATCCCGGATCCTGTCGGCTCGGACGAGTCTTGCAGACTCAAGTCAAGTCATGTATCGATCGCAAACGCCCCGCACACTAGTCGCACTCGCCTCATTCGTTCGGTGTCGCCACTCGCCTCGCTCGGACGCTTCGGGTTTTCGCTTTAGCATGCGGGGGTAGACGGCGCTAGGGTGCCGTGACGTGTAAAGTGTGCTGACCTCGTATTGCTCAGGCGTGCTGATGGCGCGCGCGGCGCTGGACTACGAGGCGGCGCGCGAGCACGAGCTGGTCGTGCGGGCTACGGACGGCGTCACGGGCGCCTTCGCCGACGCGGCCGTCACGCTGCGTGTCCTCGACGTCAACGACTGCGCCCCTGAGTTCCCGCAGGACGTATACCGCGCGGCCGTCACCGAGGCCGCGTCCGTTGGCGACTTAGTGCTCGTCGTGCACGCCGTCGACAACGACACCGGTACGTCTCGCCGCCCCGCCGTCCCTCCCTGCGCTCCCCTTAAAATACTAAAGTTATAAGTTTAATTATTACAAAAAAAGTTGTCCTCGGGCATGTCGGTCTAGTGGTCGGTGACCCTGACTGCTAAGCCGAAGGTCGCGGGTTCGACTACCACCTGGGAAAAAAATTGTGTGATGAGCACGGTTCGTTCCGTGCGGTAGCATATTGGTTAAGGCATCGTATTTGCTATCGGGATCGTGGGTTAAAATCCTGACCTTGCATAAGCGAGTTAACTTAGCTGGAGGGGTTATAGTCCGGTCATTTTAGACATAAAAATAGTGATCAAATAAAAAAAATTCCGACAGAGCCAAATCTTCGTAGAGACCTTAGGTTTACCACAAGGAATAAAGTGTCAAAAGTCCCCATCAGTCCCATGTGAGCTTAGGGACTTATTCGGGGCCCATGGTCAAAATTTTAGGTTTTTTGGATTTTTCTCAAAAACGGTAAGTTTTATCGAAAAAGTACCTCAGAGCAAAGTTGTAGATCTTAAAATTCTATATAAAAATGGTCCCTTGAGACCCACTATTTCCCAGATATTGCGCTTGTAAGAATCACGTTCTACATAATATGCACACATTTCCAAACCACCTGTAAGGTAGTGTACTCGGCGCGTTTTTTTTAACGTGGTATCCCCGGTAGGCCTATTCCATACATATATATTCTATACATTAATATCAGCATTATCTGCAACATATTGAACAAATGTGCCAGTTTCTGGTGATAAAATGTGAGGTGGGCGACTGAAAACTGCTGCTACTTCATACTTCATTGTGTCACTGTAAGATGCGCATAAACCAAACGATGAGAAAATTTGTATAAGCCGTTTTGAACCAAACCGCCGATGGAAAAAAACTGAAAGACCCAGCTGTAATTTAGACTTGAAGGATCTAGGACGAACAGCAGTCATTATGCTATGACTAATATTTGTGCAAACTAACTTTAAATGATCCAAATCATGACGCTTATTTTTAAGAATGATTTGTCCCAAAAAAAAGATAATGATTCGGGAATATAGTTATTTATATCTTCAAACATTCTACCCGGTGGCGGGTACATAGTATTATCAAATATACAAGACTGAATATCTTCTCGAATAATTTCTGCCGCAGCTTTTAAAGTTTTCCACCGTTTTTCCTTTTCATTCAAGTTTTTGTTATCATACCAGGCTTGACTTAAAATGTCATGGTAATTGTCTACAAAACAAATAAATGTTAATTTTCCAGGCTTCTCTGTAATAATAATTCTACTACCATACTTTAATTTCAATCGTATTTTTATACGTTTATCGTTTTCTAAAGTTACATTTTGGCAAACATTCTTCAGTTCATCTAACGAAAACTGGCAGTCATCGCTACTTTCAATGAAATTGAAAATTTCCTCCATTGCAGAGTTTATAGCCTCACTTTGAGGCCCATTTTACCGCCAGTATTAGGTCTCAGGAAGGATTTGTAACAACTGTCATGGTATTTAGCGTCAGCAGCAACTAAATCATACTGAAAATTAATACGCGCAAAGACAGCTTTTGACACATCATCAGAACGATCTTTAGCTAATTTTAAAATGGAATCTTTGAATGTAAGTGTAGAAACTTTATGAATTTTTCGGCGATAAATCTTCACTTTCTTCTTTTCTGCTTCTTCATCCGCTTCATCGCCACAAAATAAGCAGTGGTTTTTAAAACAAAAGCTGGATTCACTTATTCGCGCTCTAGTATGAGGTGGACTTACTTTTGAAGTACTGGCCTGTTCTTCCTCACGTTGTCTTTTTGATGCAGAGATTGAAGTTTTACGGGTGTATGATTTTCTGCAATCCACGTGAATTGTAACGGACTTTTGGCTTCTTAAATAATCAGCAAACTCATCACTTCTCGCGACACTTGCGTTGACTAAAGTTGGCATTCTACGACTGACCACAACAGTTTCATCTTCAGTCAAAAGTTTATTACAAGTAAAGCAAAATTGTGACATTTTGCGCAATATCTGCGAAATAGTGGGTCTTAGAGAAAAAATTATAGGGATGGTCCCTATAATTTTTAATTATATATTATAATTTTAATTTTTTTATAGAGAATTTTAAGATCTACAACTTTGCTCTGAGGTACTTTTTCGATAAAACTTACCGTTTTCGAGAAAAATCCAAAAAACCTAAAATTTTGACCTTGGGCCCCGAATAAGTCCCTAAGCTCACATGGGACTGATGGGGACTTTTGACACTTTATTCCTTGTGGTAAACCTAAGGTCTCTACGAAGATTTGGCTCTGTCGGAATTTTCTTTATTTCAATTGTCTAAAATGACCGGACTATTAACGGGAATAGTAATTTAGACTAAAGTAGACTAGTAATTTCGGTTGCTAGTAAAGCGTCAATAAAAAATAAATAGAAATATATATGCATGTTTATCAGCGGTCTCGTTACCATAGTACAGGCTCTGCCTAGTTCGGGATCAGATCGCCGTGTGTGAGACGGTGAAGTAATCGTTATGAACTGCGCTCGGGCAGGAGAGAACGGTGCCGTGACGTACTCGCTGTCGGCGGCGGAGGCGGGCGCCGCGGGCGCGTTCTCCGTGGACAGCGCGACGGGCGCCGTGCGCGTGGCGGCGCCGCTGGACCGCGAGGCGCGCGCGCACTACCACCTGCAGCTCGGCGCCACGGACGGCGGCCGCCCGCCGCTGCTCACCACCGCGCACCTCTTCATTACCGGTCAGTGAACGCCGAATTAACGGTAACGTCGCCATCTCGGCAGGTAAGGACGTGCCGTTTCCTTCACGGTCGATCGTTTGTCACTCGTTTGAGAGTACGAACACGAATCGATTGTGACAAACGGAGACGGTTAGTCGGTGTCGCCGCCGATAAAGGTGGTGGTAAACTTTTTTTTAGTGAGTAGTAAGTTTTTCGGGTACAGTTCGGGGATATACATCGATAACGTAACGTACGTGATATTTATCTCCCGCTGACCTGTCACGTTATCGACGTATGCCTTCTTCGAAACGATGAACCGTTAAGGTACGAATCGGCGCGTGGTTTCGTCCGCAGTGGAGGACGTGAACGACAGCGCGCCGCGCATGGAGCGGGGCGTGGTGGCGTGCGTGGTGTCGGGCGAGGCGGCGCGCGGCACGGCGCTGGCGCGCGTGGGCGCGTGGGACCCCGACGAGCGCGACGCGGCGCGGCTGCACTACGCGCTGGAGGGCGCCGCGCAGCGCGCCTTCTCCGTGCACGCGCGCACGGGCGTGCTGGCGCTGGCCGACACGCGCGCCTGGCTGGCCGCCGCGCCGACCGCGCTGCGCTCGCTCAACGTGTCGGTGTCGGACGGCGCGCACGCCGCCTTCGCGCGCGTCAAGCTGGCGCTGGCGCCGGCCAACCGCGCGGCGCCGCGCTTCCCGCACGTCGTGCACGAGGCGCGCGCGCGCGAGAACCAGCCGCCGCCGCTGCTGCTCACCACGGTACGAGCGTCACCGTCTCATAGTGAAATGAAAAATATTCACAACGTGAAAAATAATTTATTTATAGCGGTGAACCGGCTTTCGAAACGCTTAAACATGTTTCTAGCCGGAGGTCTAAAAATTATTTTCTTACCCTTTTACCTAATTTCGACGACGCAATGTGTTTTCTTCTTCCGTTCTTTTCTATCACTCGTCAGTTCACCGCTCGCGCCCTTTCTAGCCATATCCATCTTTTCTTTGGTCGTCCTCTACTCCAGTCATATCCGTTGATTCCATACATAAAACTTTCTTCCATACGTTTCGCTCACCTCTACGTATGACATGTCCATACCAGCCATTATCCGTCAGATTTTGTAAGGAAATATTCTTATACGTCAGTCACTGCCGGCGGGTACCCCGTCCCATCCAAACCATCGGGAGGGCCAAGCTTACGGCGGTTTAACTATAATCTCATGTTCACATCCACACCGGTCAACACTCCATTTGATTCTACGCATTCGCTTTAGTACATTAACTTTTTGAAGTACATCTTTTATTAACACCTGTCGTCACAGGTGTTAATAAAAGATAATAATTTCTAATGTCAACAGACTCGTTCATTATACTTCACACTTCCGTCGGGTTACTTTGCGAACTTACCTATGGCTTGCTGATATTTGTCATATGTTTAATGAGAGTATGTTAACGTATCGTAACACCGCTTTGTCTTTGCAATCTTGATGTCTTACATTGAATTTATAACTTAACTTTTCTCGTAACCTACTCTCGGTTAATGTATTGCCCTGTCTGTGCTTTTCGTTTGCACTGACTTTAATATATTCTTTCGGAGAGTACCGACAAGCGTCTTCACTGTTAGAATATCGGAACCGGAAGAGTATAAATAATGATGAGTGAATATGGTGCAGGTGAAAGCTTACGACGACGACCTCGGAGAATACGGCCTGGTGACATACTCCATCCCGTCGGCGCGACTGCGCGAGACGTTCGCGATCGACGCGAGCAGCGGCGCGCTCACGACGCGCGTGCCGCTCGACCGCGAGGCGCGCGCCGACTGGGAGGTGCCCGTCACGGCCAGCGACGGCGGCGGCCTGCTGCGCCACACCGTCGTGCGCGTGCGCGTCACCGACCTCAACGACAACGCCCCCGCCTTCCCCCTGCGCGAGTACCGCGCCGCCGTGCGCTGCGACCGCGCGCCGCGCCTGCCCTTCCTCACGCTCGCCGCGCACGACGCCGACGCGGGCGAGAACGCTCGGCTCACCTACTCCGTGTACGAGGGCGACGTGCGCTCCGACACCGGCGGCCTGTTCGCCGTCGATCCGCACACGGGCGCGCTGTCCTTCGCCAGATCCGCCGCAGAGTACGGTACGAAATCCTATCACGCGACGTCCGGTCTCCGTAGTCGCGCGGTCCGTGCACTCAATAGCTCCTTGTCGACAGCCTCCCGCGGCGTGCAGGTGTGGGTGCGTGCGCGCGACGGCGGCGGGCTGGCGGGCGAGGCGCCGGTGCTGGTGTACGTGCTGGGCGAGCGCGAGGACGCGCCGCGCGTGACGCCGCCGCCCGCCGACCTGTTCCTGCGCGAGGACGCGGCGCCGGGCACGCTCATCGCCGAGCTGCGCGCGCCCGCGGCCGACGCGCCGCGCTACCGCCTGGCGCCTGCGCTGTGGCCGCGCGACCTGTTCGCCGTGGACGCCGCGGGCCGACTCGTGCTCTCCGGCCAGCTGGACCGCGAGACCGCCGCCGACCATCTCATAGGTGAGACCCGATGCCTAGGACGGACGGCGCACCGAGCCGTGGGGTTGGAATCGAAGCTCGAATTTATTTTTAGCTCTGGATCTGGATGAAATTTGGCACCTAGGTAGATTATAAGCTGGAATAGCACAAAGGTCACTTTTATCCCAAAAAAATATAGTGTTCCCGTGGCACGAGGCAAGGTACGACAACAACCGCGAGTAACACCGTGGGGCTCAGCGGCTTGTAACGGAATTCTTTTACCCATAGAAAGCTACATTTCGAAGAAACGACAAATAATTTGTGCACCTTTGTAACTTTTAATTGCAAATCCATTAAACGTTCCATAGATACGAGGCATGCCTTTTAAGTTTTGTCGTTTGAAGAAAAAAACACAACTAGAACCTTATAGTACTTTTCATTGTTTTTCAAAGTATTCACCGCGTAGCTAATACACTTTTCTATTCGCTCAAACCAGTTATTATAACATTTATTCCACTCTAAAGTGGGGGTGTTCAAAATGGCTGACTTAAAAGCGTCGACTGCTTCTTCACCGGACTGGAACCTTTGACCACGAAGACTTTCCTTAATTTTTGGAAATGTAAAGAAATCGTAAGGGCTTAGGTCAGGACTGTGTGGAGGATGGTCAAGAATTTTACTTTTTCCTGCTTCAAATACTCAATCGTTTGACGAGCGCTGTGTGAGCTCGCGTTGTCGTGGTGCAGGATGATGCGTCGCTTTGAGTTAGATTTTCGAAGTTCGGCGATGACTTGTGGTAAACAAACTGTGGTATACCACTCTGCGTTAACCGTTCTACGATCTTCAAGTGCAACAGTCGCAACATGGCCGGTTTTTCCAACGAACGTGGCCACCATCTTCTTTGAAGTGCTTAGAGAACGAACAACTTTAGTCGGCTTTGGCTAGTCTTGAATCTCCCAGATTGTAGATTGTTGTTTGGAATCAGGATCGTAGGCATAGATCCAAGATTCGTCACCACTGATGATGTCGTAGACGTGATTTGACTCTCCTCGGTTGAACCTTTGCAGAGTTTTTTACACCATCTGACGCGGGCCGCATTGTGATCGTCGGCAAGCAGATGCGGTATCCAACGGCAAACTTATGCAAGATCTTCTGAATGGATGTCCCTGAGATGCCTAAAGGGCTCTTTACTCTTTCTCTCGATACGTCACATGACGATCTTCGAGAATAAGTTGTCTCACAGCATTGATGTTATCTTCAGTGAAGGCGGATTTTGGGCGTCCTTCGCGAGATTTGTCACTAACACTATATATATGTATGCAATGTAACACTATATATTAACTAATAAATAATACAAATTATTTATTGTTGATAATATTTTAATGATTTAATAACTATATACAAGGTATTATTTACCGAGATTCACGGTTGACCTTGTATTACAGTATAAATGCCTGAGCGCTGGGTGCTCTCCGCTCTCTATCTCGAAAAGGGTTGAGCGTACAGAAAAAGAGTTGAGACAAAAATTGTGGCAATTTTTTTATCTTCAATTTTCATAATAGGTGTTGAAGTGGTTGGAACCATAAAAACGGAGATAATTGCAAAAATTGATTTTCGTGACCTTTGACCTCGAATAACTTACGACGCAGACACGAGATAATATGAGACTTTTGAGACAACTTTTAGAACGCCAAAATGAAGCTGTATACGAGTTTCCACCTTATTATTTCAAATTCCGAGGTGAAACCCTAAAGTGACTGGACTAGGTTATGTTTTGTTTTTCGCATTCGGCCTAAACATATTTCAAATTAAAAACAATACTTTCTAAAAATTCAATAATTAAAAAAATAAATAAATTATACATAATATTAGTTCTTAGGAAGTCCATCCAAAAATATTTGGTTCATTGCTATTGGATTCTTTCAAGAATAAAAAAATATTTCTGGACAAATCCTTTGATATTATTTGATAATTCAATTTAAGTGACATATTTACTATTTTTGGAAAAAATATTATTTATAATTGAACAAAAATTTATTAGGTGATTGATTAAATCATACTCCACGAAAAATACACGATGACTGGGGCCCTTATGCCGTCTGTATGGACAGGCCGACTCAAAACTATGGTCCTTGCATCAAAAAGCCAACCCAGACCCTATACTGCACTTACAAGGTTCTCTTTAACATCGTACACGAACTTAAAAGAAAGACACTTCTGAGGTTTGTTTCAGCGTTTCTTCCCAGAGTGAGTATTAGGAAATGCCGGCGCCTTCTAGCTGTAAAATCCAACTTGTAATAATATCGGAAATCATTCACTTGCAGAAATAAATAATATTTCATTTTACACAATGAGGCGTGGCCGAGTTGTTATCGACATTTTCTCTACTAATGTCGCTAACTTAAAAGCAGCTGTGTAAGGTTTTCTTCGATCGGTTACATACAAATCAACTATAGGTCTATATAATTATATTTCTTGACTATTTTTTATTTATCCGGGCCATGTTCAGGGTTATCTGTAATATATTATTTTAACAGCGGAAACTTAATTAGTCTTCACGTATTAGTATTATATGAACTGTAAATTTTCCTAAAACATTACAATAAAATATTTCAGGCATTATCGCAGAAGGCGCGGGAAGCCCGGCTCCGGCCACGATGGTGATGACTCGGCTACACGTGCTCGACGTGAACGAGCACGCGCCCAGCTTCCACTCGCAGCCCTACGTGGTCCACGTGGCGGAGAACACCCCTCCGCACACCAGCCTCGTCCAGCGTGAGTGATCACTGCCTCACTCTCCGTAAACAGTTTATCGCATATTTCGTACAGTAAATGACTCATTCGATAGTGTGAATTCGAACAAGGGCCCTGAATTTTCTTTTCTCTGACATAGAGGGCGTATCTAAGGGTGATCGTCCTCCCCATATGGATCATCGTCATCATCGATAGCCTAACAGTCTACTGCTGCAGTGCTATTCTCTATTCCCTTTTCGGCTCTATACGTCTCGGTATCCACGTAAACGCACTAGGTCTTCGGTAGTGGTATTTCGATTCCACCATATAATCCCTGGTTTGATATCGACGTGCCTGAACGCCATAACGAACTGCTTCAGTGATGGCCGACGACCCCGACGCCGGCACCAACGGCGAGGTGCGGTACTCGCTGGCCCTCTCGGAGGAGGCGGGCGAGGCGGGCGAGGCGGCGCCGTTCGCCGTGGACCCGTACACGGGCTGGGTGAGCACGCTGGCGCCGCTGGACCGCGAGGCGCGGCCCGAGCACCGCCTGGCGCTGCTCGCCAGCGACGCGGGCGCCGAGCGGCGCGTGGCGCGCGGCACGCTCGTGGTGCGCCTGGTGGACTACAACGACTGCCCGCCGCGGTTCCTGCGCGACGAGTACGGCGCCGAGGTGCGCGAGGACGCGGCCGCCGGCACCGTGGTGCTGCGCCTGGAGGTGCGCGACGCGGACGCCACGGGCGCGCCGCTCTCGTTCTTCGTGGCCGACGGAGACGCGCGCGCTCGCTTCCAGCTGCGCGCCTCCGGCGAGCTGTACGTGGCGCGCGCTCTCGATCGCGAGCTCGAGCCCGCCTACGAGCTGTCCGTGGCCGCCACCGACGGCAAGTTCACGGCCACCACGCGCGTGCGCATCGCCGTGCTCGATGTCAACGGTGAGTCTCGCAGAGTTTCGTTCGTTCTCCTCGTTCCGTACCTCCGAATCTATTCGTTCCGCTCACCGATCGTGTTGCGTGTCGACAGACAATCCCCCGTACTGTTTGCGACACCGATACCGCTCGCGACTCGCGGAGGACGCGGCCAACGGTACGCACGTCATGACTCTCGAAACCGGGGACGCGGACGAACCGAGCGACAATCGCCTCAGATACTACCTCACAGGGGAGGAGACACACCATTTTGCCATAAACAAGGTACGTTTAAAGAACTCACGAATAAATTATTTGTTGAAGATTAACTTAAACTTAACTAAATTAAAGAGTGAGCGTGAATGTGGCGTGCGTTTCTGCACAACTGTGTGCGCTTGAAACTGACGGTGTAGGTGACTTCCCTGACGTACGCCCATCGGTAAAACTTTTTATTTAAAATAAAATTAATCAATTTATTAAAATTTGTATTACACTATCATTTTTGAAAATGTCTGTCCGTTCACTTGACTACACATCACTACTGAAGTACTAAGTTCGGCCGGTCGTGCAGGAGACGGGCGAAGTAGTGGTGGCGGCGGCGCTGGACCGCGAGGCGCGCTCGGCCTACCGCCTGCGTGCGCACGCGCAGGACCGCGAGCGGCCCGACTGGGAGTGCAGCTCCGAGCTCGAGGTCACGCTCACCGACGTCAACGACAACGCGCCGCGCTTCTCCGCCGCCACCTACAGCGTCACGCTCCCCGAGGACGCAGACGTCGGGACGCTCGTTGCTAAGGTACGATCTCACTGCACTCTTCCACAGTGTATGTTGCGCTTTGGATAAGTTAGACGACCACTTCGGTTTACCTACGTTTATTAAATGCCACATAAAATATGTTATAATTATTACATTACAATAGTAAGGTATCGCCGATATTATAAAGGTAAGTACCTTTATAACATCAGCGATTCCTTACTATTGTACACTATTGCACACTACAACAGAGAGCTTCTGTCTTTTTTTGAATTGCAAAATAACTTAAAATTGTTAAAATCAACGCCCAAAAGATAAACCAAAATAATGTACTGCGGAATTGTATATCTTAAAATGATTTACACAAAAGTCCGCGATGGTATTCTATGTCTATCTCCTAAGGATAACCCACAGTAACCATATTTTACTTTAAATGTTACAAAAACATTATAGGTTATTTACGAAGACATTTTAAACAATACATTATTATTCCCTATCCAGTTAAATACGTTAGAGACGTTCTGCATTTAATGTAGATCAAAACAGCATATCATTAAATGAATATTTTAGAAGATATTAGAGGTTTAAAATTACAGTTACAGTTTGGGTTTAGGCCCGGTTTATCAACTGAAAGTGCTGTTCTCTGTCTCAAGCAGACTGTCCAGTACTATACAGCTAGAAATACACCTGTATACGCTTGTTATTTAGATCTCTCAAAAGCTTTTGACCTTGTTAATTATGACAGGCTGTGGCAGAAGCTACAATGTGATACGAATCTACCACGTGAGATTGTATCTCTTTTTAAATATTGGTACAGTCAGCAGAAAAATAGGGTAAGATGGTCGGATGTGCGGTCGGACATGTACAGGTTGGAGTGTGGCGTGAGGCAAGGTGGTATATCCTCGCCTCGTCTCTTTAATCTGTATATGAATGGGCTGATCGGTGAGCTTAGTAGCACAAACATAGGTTGTTCTATTGACGGTGTGTGCATAAATAATATAAGCTACGCTGATGACATGGTGCTGCTGAGCCCATCGATTGGTGCACTACGTAGGTTGATAGGTATCTGTGAGACATATGCGGCGAGTCATGGTCTCAAGTATAATGCCAAAAAGAGCGAGTTTATGATCTTTAAAGCTGGTACCAAATGCTACTCAATTGTACCTCCAGTCACTCTTTGCGGAACTCCTTTAAAGAGAGTTTATAAGTTTAAGTACCTTGGGCATTGGGTCGCCGATGACTTATCAGATGACCTTGATATTGAGAGGGAGCGTAGGGCGCTGTCTGTCCGGTGTAATATGTTGGCTCACAGGTTCGCACGTTGTACCACACCAGTAAAAGTTACTCTTTTCAAAGCATATTGTCAGTCCTTCTACACGTGCAGCCTGTGGACTAACTTTACGCAGCGGGCGTACAGCGCACTACGCGTCCAGTACAACAATTTTACTTATATGCTGAATATTGAATGTTATAATAGTACAAATTATTCATATTCATAACTTATGCGATAAAAAACAATACCTTTGATTTGTGCCCATATTAGCTCAATGGCATTGTACTGGCAGTGATAAGGCGGAATTCGAAGTACCCGATGTCCATGTGCCAGAGCTATCTCATCTCCTTCATAACGGACTCTTGATGTTTTATTTTCGCGTACCAACTTTACTAAGTCAGACTTTAGCATTTCGGCAGTAGTTTCAATTCCATTTTGGTGTAGCCATGCTACGAGATCAGCTTTCTTGTCGGCCTGAGTAGGCGCTTTATTCACTTGTTTCGAGTGAAATGAAGCGTTGTCCATTATTATGATAGAAGGCTCTGGCAGGCTGGGTAATAATTGATTTTCGAACCAATTCGTAAAAGTGTCTGTATCCATCTCCTCGTGGTAATCGGAAGTACTTTTTGACGCGAAAGCCAGCAGTCCATTTTCAAAGAAACCACTTCCAGCAGAACCGGCGTGACAAATTATCAGTCGCGATCCTTTTCCAATTGGAACCTTTGAGGTTGATGCTTTTGTTTCGTCAGTCCAAGAGCGTGACATAGTGTGGTTCGCATTTAACCATGTTTCGTCAACAAAAACGACGCTGTCCCAAGACTCGATTTTAGTGGCTTCTCTTAAAAAGTCACTCCTTTTAATTATTAAATCAAATCTTTCCATTAATATTTTTCTTTTATTAGTTTTTTTATATTCAAACCCAATTGGGTGCAATAGTTTTGACAACGCCGTTTTACCGCCTTTCAACAAGCCAGCTTCTTTTAAAGAGACCAAAAGCAAAAGTCTAGTTGGAAACTCGTTCCTAGTATAATAACCATACCTATATGTGGTTTCTTATTGCATCTGCATCAAAAACATCAACACCTGTCACGGGCTTTTGTCTTCGTTTTTTCTTAGGAGTGCGTAAAACATTATCTTCACTTCCAGAAGCACCAAAGTTTTCTTTATTTATATTATATAGTGTTATTGCACCAATTCCAAGAGCTTGTGAAACCCGATCTTTCACTTGAGTGACAGGAATCAAAGGGCCGCCATTTTGTGACTCACGCTTAAAGTAATCCTGTAGCTTTGGTACAAGCTCACGACATTGACTATTCAATGTTTTTCCTCTTTTCGGCATTTTCAACAAAATTACCAAACACAAACAAAATTAGTCCAATAAAGCGCAACAATAGACAGGAGAAAGCCGAGTCAAAAAACAACGGTTACACAAGAGAACGTAGTCTGTGCGCACGAGAGTACGGAAGACGACTAAACAGATTAAAATAGCGGTGGTAAGGGTGTTGCCAGAATAGTATCGCCAATTACTTAAAAAAATACACCTATAACACTGCTTAATTGAGAGAGAAAATTATATTTATTAAATGTTGTTTTATATATATTATAAATGTTAAAAATTATACATAATCATTTTAATTGTATTTATTTTTAAATCATAGAAAACAGTATTTCTGTCTTTGGATCACACATAAATCTTAAAAATCATAAGATACTGGCAAAACAGTGCAATTAGGAGACGCAAAAAAATGGTAGCATTATATTTAGTCTAGTTGCTCGAAGGAATAAGTAAAATAAAAATATCCAAATAAAATAAATATCATATCTATTCCAATGAATTCGGACCGAATACTATCAAGCACATCACTATGAAAACTAGACGCACGATGTAACTTTGTACAAGCGCGCCAAAGAACAAAAAATAAATGTTTTCATATTATTTACAAACTATTTTAAGTTTTGAAACAGAGTTTATTGGAAAATTACTTGATTCTGACATTTGACATAAAGTTTTATATTAAAGAGGTATTCTAAATCATTCGGCAAATGTGTCGCTCGTGCAAGGTTATATCGATTAATTTAAGAATAATCTGTCAAATCGGTAATAACTCAGCGGCCGTACTATATATATGTTTACTTTGCAAATGGACTCGACTGTTTTGACTTTATTATTATTGTTTAATAATGACTGATTTGTAATGCACCGATTACATGACTTTAAATTTGAACTTTGGCTGTGACTATGACAGTGATGCCTGGTGTTATGGTGATGTGATCCCTCAGATTCATGACTGTAGTCATCATTGAGATTTGAATATACACATGAGTTATGTAGATACATATGATATGTCACGTCACTAAGGCACCTAGCATTTAGCACATACTTGGGTAGTCATTGCTCTGCTGTCTGCGACACGCTAATTATATGACACGTCCTCAAGCCATAGAAAAACATAACTTGGTGTCAGAAGGTGTAGGTGACTGCGACTGGTCTATAAATGACAGTTGTAGTCCTGACGGTGATTGCTCTAGGGGTGATTGTTCTGTCTGGTGGTTTGTGTACTGTCTGTAATGTTGTTGAGACTGACTGTTATATATGGGTTAAATTGGCATAAATGGTTTCCACGACTAGGACTTAAATGTCTACTTTGTTGATTAGACTGACATTAATTATTTGTATGACTGCGACGACTTGAATATGATTGACTACTTAAAATACCAACAAAATAATCTTGACTATTGTTACAATTACTGACTGGATTGACTGAATAAAATGTTTTTAAACTACCGACTTTTTTATTTTTTAAACAATTTTTGGCAAAGTGACCCAAAAGATTACATTACCTGCATTGAACTCCTTGAGCTGGACACTTGTATCGGTGAGACTGCCCACAGCTGCTGCACACCTTCATTCGCTTCTCAGGACTGGTTAATCTCCTTGTGTTGGGCCTTTGCTTGGCGACTGGAGCTCGCTGTCGACTTTCCCCTCGACAACGGCTCTTGCGAGGTAGATGCATGACGTTTTCTGGTGGACTCCTTGACAATTTTTTCAGCATCCTGCTGTGTGACGATTATCATCGCGCATGCTTTTATAAGTCAAATTTTGTTCCTGTAAGAGTCTCTGACGGACATGTGTTAAATCTAAATGCAAATTAGCGATTAAAATATCACTAATGAGAGGCTCCCTGAGCCAAATTCACAATCGTGGCTCTTGTTCTCCAGATCTATGAGAAATTCCTCGATGGATTCTCTGTGGATGGATGGATCTAATCTGTTAAAACAATCATACATTGCGTATCAAATTTAAGTAATAACTACATTGCATTGAACTAAATTTCCTGCACTAATATTTCAATACATTTTGTTAAAATATTTAGTAAAATCACAATTCATATTTTTTGGTTTCGCTAGTGATTTAGCCAATCTTATTTTAATTCATTCGACATCGCAATATTATAGTTATTGATGATTTTGGTTTTTACAATGATTTTCTGTTTAGTACAATGTTTTCTTTTTGTATTATGATGAGTAAGCGATAGCGAAAAAGAGGAGGTTTTTGTTTGTTTGCATAATTTTTGTAATGACCTTATTTTGAAGATCTTTTTGATCATACCATTAGTTTTAGCCAAAATATGAAATGACCAACTGCTCAGCTAAGGTGTGTAAATAATAATATGGTACTTCTGCAGTTCTGACAACAGTTAGTAGGTAGTAACATATTTAATGAAATAAGCTATCCATCCTCCATCCATCCATCCAATCAGAATATCCATGATCAAATCATTTATACGACTAAATAAAATGCAATAAATTGAAAATCACATAAATATTCAAATACATTTTTTTTTTAATTACTTAAAATACAAATAATACAATAAATACATTTTATTTCAGGTTCAATGAATATTTTAAATTATTATTATTTCTTTCATTTTGTAATTATGTTTTATGGTTATTGAATATATGTATTTCATATTTTTTATACAAGAGTAGTATTAATTTACAATAAAATCTTCATGCATAGTAGTAATGTGTGACACCAGAATATCAATAATTTACGTAAAATTATCCTCGTATTTCTTTTTCGATAAATAGCAAAACTAACTACATCACTACGGTGCCTTGCGGAACCTCCTCTGAAACAAGGGTCGCGTGAAACGTTACCTTATTTTGAAGATTTTAAGGTTGTATTTAGTAACGTTATAAGTGGCGTTTAGGATTTATATTCAATAAATCCTGTGGAACGAATTAGCGTAAACTATTTTTTGTGTGTAAATATTATTTATTGTTTATGCGCGTCTAGGCGACAACGGGACTCTTCTCATTTACCGTTAATCGCACTTCTAATGTTTATTCACATGACAGTGACATACGTACTCGTACATTGGTATGTATGTGTGTCACCTACAACCACATTTGAAAATATCAATAACCTGCTATCGAAATAAACGGGCGATCTGTCGAACAAAAGTTCATTTCCGATATAGTACGGGAGCTAGCAACGTTTGGAAAGTAAGAATTTTAGGTCAGCTGATTTTGTGATATGTCGTCCTTCTTGCACTTTCGGTTAGAATCTGGGCTATATGGCTGGCGGTAGCGGTTGCGTTCATTAGTGCGCATCCTACCTGTCCAGGTAATAATCCTGTATTTTAAAAACATTTTAGAAGGCGTAATTTTTAATTTTTTGTTTTTAAATAAGTCTACCTGACATACTTTTTTTATTGCCAGACATTTTTGACAATGCTAACTATGTGCCATACGCGATTTTTTTTATTTTTTTTTATAAAATTTCAAAGTATTTTATAATGTCTGTAATTTTAATATTATGTTATTTAAAGATAAGAAAAACTTAAAATAAATTTGCCAGACATTAATTCGATTGTTTAGTCTTGAATTAAAATTAAAAAGTCATGAAAAGTATTGCAGTATGATGCTAGTAGTAACAAGACACATTTTCAGTAAAAATCAACTTCTTCATATCTCACTACTTTTGAAAATAATGTGCCTGAGCAAGAGTTGAGTAAACATGAGATTAGTATTTTGATGATGATGATGCGACTTAACAATCGAATTAATGTCTGGCAAATTTATTTTAAGTTTTTCTTAGTCGTTACGAGACGAAAATTTGGTGAAATGCTCACTCAAAACATCCATACTTAAAAAAAATCGCGTATGGCACATAGTTAGCATTGTCAAAAATGTCTGGCAATAAAAAAAGTATGTCAGGTAGACTTATTTAAAAACAAAAAATAAAAAATTACGCCTTCTAAAATGTTTTTAAAATACAGGATTATTACCTGGACAGGTAGGATGCGCACTAATGAACGCAACCGCTACCGCCAGCCATATAGCCCAGATTCTAACCGAAAGTGCAAGAAGGACGACATATCACAAAATCAGCTGACCTAAAATTCTTTCTCGAAAACGTTGCTAGCTCCTATACCAATAACTTTTCAGTCCGTTAGTGTTATCTTTTATTTTTGTTTACTGACTTAAAATCTTGTTTACCTAGTTAGCTTTGCTTAAATAAGATCTATTTATATATTTATTTAATTCTTAGAACTAGAATTCTTACAGTTAGTCTGATTCATAAAAAACTTACAGGTCCACGCTACAGACGCCGATCTCGGGCTCAACCGCCTCGTGCGATACTCCTTCGTGGAGGAGACGAGCGGCACTTTCGAGCTGGCGGCGGACAGCGGCATCATCACGCTCCGCGCGGCGCTGGATCGCGAGACGCAGGCCGAGCACCGCCTCGTGCTGCGCGCCAGCGACGGCGGCCGGCCCGCGCTCTCCGCCACGGCCACGCTGCGCCTCACCGTGGCCGACGTCAACGACAATCCGCCCGAGTTCGAGTTCCACGAGTACCGCGCCTCCGTGCCCGAGCTGGACGCGCCCGGCACTGAGCTGCTGCGCGTGCGGGCCACGTCGCGCGACACCGGGGTCAACGCCGACGTGTACTACTCGCTCGTGGGGGGCGACGACCGGGACGACTTCGCCGTCGATCGCGCCTCCGGACTGCTGACCGTGGCGCGCCCGCTGGACTTCGAGCGCCGTCGTGAGTACCTGTTGACCGTGCAGGCCATCGACGGAGGTACTCCCCCGCTCAGCGATCTCGCCACCGTCAACATCACCGTGTCGGACGGCAACGATAACGCGCCACGCTTCACTCAGACGTCGTACGGCGCGCGCGTGCGCGAAGACGCCGCCGTGGGCACGCGCGTGCTGCAGGTCGTCGCGGACGACGCTGACTCGGGCGCCAACGGACGTGTCGCGTACAGTATTGCGCGTGGCGATCGCGACTCGCGATTTTCCATCGACCCTGACACTGGCTACTTGTCCGTGACGGCGCCTCTGGACCGCGAAACCGTACCCGCTTACGTGTTGGAGGTACACGCGCGTGATCGCGGTCTCCCCGCACTCGAAAGCACCGCGCTCGTCAACGTCGAGGTGGTGGACGCCAACGATAATCCGCCAGTGTTCGTTCAAGACAACTACACCGCAGTCGTACAAGAGGACCGCCCTCTCGGGCACACCATACTTAAGTTCGTCGTGTCCGATGCCGATGCGCCACCGAACGCCGCTCCTTACACCTTCGATTTCCAATCGGGCAACGAGATGGGCGCTTTTCGACTGGAACAAGACGGTTATTTGCGTTCGGCGACCCGTTTCAACCATCGCATCAAAGACCGCTACGTGCTGCAGGTGCGCGTTTTCGACAATGGTACCCCTCCGCTGTACTCGGATGCGTGGGTCTACATCAAAGTCATCGAGGAGTCACAGTATCCACCGGTGGTGACGCCGCTCGAGGTGCTCGTCAACTCGTACCTGGACGAGTTCCCGGGAGGAGTTATAGGGCGGGTTCTCGCCTCCGATCGAGACGCGTACGACACTCTGACCTACGCTCTCGCGCCTATCGACGGCGCCCCCTATCCGCCGACAGACCTGTTCGAGATCGATTCCGCGGACGGAACTCTTCACGCGGCCCCGCGCCTGGACGTCGGTGACTACAGGTTAAACGTGACCGTCGACGACGGTAAATTTGTTGGCTTCGCAATAGTAAAAGTCACAGTGATATTGATATCGGACGAGATGCTCGCTCAAGCGGTAGTGGTACGTTTTCGCGAAGTGACCGATCGCGACTTCGTGCTCAGTCACCGCAAGGGATTCGTGCGAGCCGTCGGCGAGGCGACCGACTGCGAGCCCGGCGACGTGGTCGTCATCGGCGTTCAACCCTCCGGGGACGAGGACGACGACGACCCGCACCCGGAGCGCGCTCGACGTCAGGTGGCGCAGGACCTCGACGTGGCGTTTTGTGTGCGAGCGGCGGGCGGCCTGCTCCCGGCCGACGCGTTGCGGCGCCGGCTGCACCAGCACCTGGAGCGCCTGGAGGAGGGAGCGCGCCTCGTCGTGGAGGAGCTGTTGCGCGCCTCGTGCGGGGGCTGCGTGCACGGCGCGTGCGTCGAGCGCGTGGAGCTACGCGCGGCCGCCCGCGCCGTCAGCACCGACGTGTATGCGCTCGTAGCTCCGCCGCACCGCCTACGCGGACGCTGCGAGTGCGAACGCGGGTTCGGCGGCGAGCGCTGCGACCGCGCCGCACCCGACTGCGCCGCCTGCGAGGCGCCAGCGCCGGGCGTGGCGCTGCTGCAAGGCGACGGTTACTTGTTGTACCGCCTGGAGCGCGGCGCCGTAGACGGCGCGCGGTTACTGGACGACGAGCTGACTCTGTCGCTGCGCTTCCGCACGCGGCGGGAGCGCGGCACGCTGTTGGCGGCCGCGGGGCGCGTGGACTACGCGGTGCTGGAGCTGGCGGAAGGGTATCTGCAGTTTCGCATGGAACTGGGCGCGGGCCCCGCCGCGGTGCGCGCGGCCGTGCCGGTGGCGGACGGCGCGTGGCACTCGGCGCGGCTGGAGAGGCGCGGCGCGTCCATGCGCCTGACGGTGGACCGGCGCAGCGCGCTGGCGCAGACGCCGGCGCCGGCCGCGGTGCTGGACGTGCGCGCCGACCGCCTGCTGTTGGGCGCGTCGCTCGCCCGCCACGCTCACGCCTTCGCCGCCGAGCAGGTACGATTTTGTACAGCGAATTAGGTAGACTAGAAGGAGTCCTCGACGAGGGAAACTTAATAAAATTGTAAATCATCGCATTTCTATGTGTATTTTCTTGTTAGTCGGTGTTTCGATACCTATCGTTACTGTCAATGTTATTTTTGTAGCGTTCTCAACTTAAATAAAAAAGAAATTAACCGATCATAACGACGGTCGTAGGTGACTTACGGATTTCACGGATGCGTCTCGGACGTGAAGCTGGGTGGCGCCGCTCTCCCGCTGGAGGAGGGCGGCACGTCGAGCGACGGGCGCGCTCAGCTCGTACGGAGCGTACGCGTGCGCGTGCAGAGCGCGTGCCCCGCTCTGCCGCCGCCCACGCCCTGCTCGTCCTATCCCTGCCTCAACGGTGGCACGTGCCGCGACTTGGGCGACCTCCTGGAGGGCGAGTCGGAGGGCTATTCGTGCTCGTGCCACGCGCGCTTCTCGGGCGCGCGCTGCGAGCTGGACGCGGACCCGTGCGCGGCGGCGCCGTGCCTGCACGGCGGCTCGTGCGCGGCCGACGCGCTGGAGCCGGGCGGGTTCCGCTGCGCGTGCGCGGCGGGGCTGGCGGGCGCGCGCTGCGAGCGCGGGCGCTGGTGCGGCGCGGGCGTGTGCGCGCACGGAGGCGCGTGCGAGGAGGGCGACTGGGGCCCGTCGTGTCGCTGCCGGGGCTACTACGGGCCGCGCTGCCAGTACGACGTGGACGAGTGCGCGGGCGAGCCGTGCCTCAACGGCGCCACCTGCCTCAACGAGCCCGGCTCCTTCCGCTGCCTCTGCCCGCCCGACAAGACCGGTCAGTGATCGATGCGCCTCTTAAATTATTGGTTGTTACTGATTAAATGGTTTTTGTGTTATGTAGGTAGTTCGGGAGTATTAAAAAATTGCAGTTTTTTTAATTTTATACTTGAAATTTAAAATTTGTAATGACTTAACTTTTCTAAAATAGGTAGGTACTATTATGGGCCGAAGGTCCGATGTCGGAGTGTCCGTGTTTCCGTGTCTGTCCTTTTCTGTCAAAACATTAACTTATTTCTCAATACAAACAAATGTCATGTGCTCACCTTTTCTAGAAAATCTCATCCTATCATTTTCGATTACAGATTGAACGGTAAGGTCTTGAGTAGAGTCACTGAGGTTCGTGATTTAGGAGTTATCTTGGATAGCAAATTAACCTTCATTTCTCATATAGATAAAACCATAAAGCTTATAAGCGATCGAGCTTCACCTTGAGGGTTAGTAAACCCTTTAATAATTCGTTAAACTATAAGTTGTTGTACGAATTTGCTTCACATACATACGTGTAGACTACGAAACGTCTGCCGAATACCACGTAACGTTATAAAAATATCGAAGGAACTTATGTGTCGCCAAAGCGGAATGGAAAATTATTTGGTACATACTCACAGATGTGAGATAGGTTAGTGACGGCATAGAACTCGGTGTAACGGTGATGTAACGAAACGTTGCAGGCATGAACTGCGGTAACCCGCTGTACTCGGACGCGGTGGTGGCGGGCGGCGCCGGCGACTCCACGGCGCGCGCGCTGCGCTCGGCGTGGCGCTGGGCGTGCGACGCGCGCTGGCCGCTGGCGGCGGGCGGCGCGGCGCTGGCCTTGCTGCTGCTGCTGGCGCTGGCGCTGCCACTGGCCTTGCGCCGGCGCCGAGCGGCGCGCGCCAAGCCCGCCGACGAACCGCTCAACAGCCGGGCGCTCGACAAGCTGGCCCCGCGCGCCTCCAAGCTGTCCAACCTGGAGGCGGTGCGGCGCGAGCGGCCCGCGTCCTGCGCGGACCCGCCGCCGCTCAACAACGTGGACACGCTCCGCAGCTACGGCTCGGCGGGCGACGAACTCGAAGGCATTCCGCCCGACTACCGCCGCAATCTCAACATCGACGTCGCCGACCGTAAGCCCTGGTCCGAGCAGATGCACTTGCACACCTTCGTGGATAACAAGATATATAACGGTGAGCGCCGCGTCCTACACGTGTCTCGACTCGGTATTGCAACTTCGACGACCGTCTGTCTCACTGACCTAGTTCTCGTTTTTAACACGCTTTTATTAGCCTCACCTGTATGTTTGTTTGTTTGTTTGTATGTAACCGACTCCTTTGAGCTCGATTTTGCCCTACTTTGAACGATCAGATTTGATTCAAACTTTGCACACCTGTCAAAGGTCGATGACAATGCAATAATCCGATCAAAATATCCGATTATCCTAATTAGATTCGCCAGGATTAATTAATTTCTTTCCGCATCCTTTGCATGCGAGTAAGAGAGACAGAGCTAGTGCGCGAACTACGCATGCGTGCAGTTCCAGACTTGCTCTTTCGGGCACTCAGTTCAGCACAACCTTATAAAAACAAAATGGTAGTTGCGTCTTGTTCCTTATACTTACATATATGTCCCGACAAATCTAATACGCATTCTATTATCATTTTATAATATCCATAATATATTTAGAACCGTGATTCACCATAAAATACTTCGTATTCACAACATAACAAAATATTAAGGATAGAAATATCTATTTATTTTGCGGCATATAATATAGTTACCAGCATGACCTTGGGTCTGCAGTCGATAAGGTCACCAACTGTTAAGAAGATGAAATTTTCGGAGAGAGAACCTGAGAAACGACTACCGCATCCAAGAAAGGCAGCAGGCACCCAATTTCCTCATTTGTCTGATTAGTTATTGCGTCTTGTTCCGCATACAAACATAAATGTACCGACAAATCTAATACGCATACTATTATCATTTTATAATATCCATAATATACCGGTAACTGTTATTTACATAAAAAACTTCGTATTCACAACAAAACAAAATATTCAGGACAGAAATATCTATTTATTTTGCGGCATATAATTTAGTTACCAGCATGACCTTGGGTCTGCAGTCGATAAGGTCACCAACTGTTAAGAAGATGAAATTTTCGGAGAGGGAACCTGAGAAACGACTACCGCATCCAAGAAAGGCAGCAGGCTCCCCATTTGTCTGATTAGTTATTGCGTCTTGTTCCTTATACTTACATATATGTCCCGACAAATCTAATACGCATTCTATTATCATTTTATAATATCCATAATATATTTATAACCGTGATTTACCATAAAACACTTCGTATTCACAACAAAACAAAATATTTAGGATAGAAATATCTATTTATTTTGCGGCATATAATTTAGTTACCAGCATGACCTTGGGTCTTTTGGGATTTTTTTGAAAATCATTGATTTTTATGACACGATACTGAAATTGTGGGGAACTATAGTTCTTCAACACGCTTTATTGAATATATAATCTAAAAGCAGCCAACATTTACTTAGTCTCACTTTAGTAGTAAATTGATGTAATGATAAAAAAACTGAGCTACTGGTGACATACATGATCTATTCATTGAGACATGCATAGGACTACTCGCAAGTGACAGCACGTACTGTCAACGGTTACTCCATGTCATGCGCGCGCAGCATTACATCTTGGGGAACGATCCGTATACAAGTGTGAGTAGTAGCGTGCAGCTCTTTCAAGCCCATGGATGCAACTTGAATTCTCTACGACAGCGAAAAATCCGCCCCCGCACACACGCTATTGTATTCTATTATCTCGAAGCATCTACATTCGGGCGTTGCTCCTATTTACATGAGACACCTAATCCAACATAAGGTGAGAAACGTGCCGATGGATGAATGGCAGAGGGTGTTAAAAAATGTCATGTCGCTAGCGTCAACCTCAGGGCACCAGGCACACCCTGTTGTATAAGTGCCTTACCCTTCTACAGGACCTCTGGGGGGGTGGACCGTTTATTTGTCCTGTACTCGTGGGAATATTATGGAGAAAAACCAACAACAAACCAAAACACAAAAAATTTAACTAAAAAATGAAAAATAAATAATAGTTTAAAAAAACTAAAATTAAAAACACGCTTTTATAGAAAATCCAACTAAAAAACAGAAAATAAAGTTTAATAAATTTGGATTAAGAATAGTGTAAATTTGATTAAGTTTGATTAAGTACAGTGTAAAAAAAAAATGAATGTACATTATTGTAAAAAAGCGTGGGGTGCATAGTGTCAATAGTTATAAACATTTATTGTCAGATGAGTAGAAAAATCATCACTTTGATAATATCATAAAAAGCACTTCAGATGCACCCCACGCTTTTTTACTGTAATGTACATTAATTTTTTTTTACACTGTACTTAATCAAATTTACACTATTCTTAATCCAAATTTATTAAACTTTATTTTCTGTTTTATAGTTGGATTTTCTATAAAAGCGTGTTTTTAATTTTAGTTTTTTTAAACTATTATTTATTAATTATTCAAACTGAACATGCTCAAATACCAGTTTTGAAAAAAAAAAATTGTTCCGAAAGCGAGATAATTAAATACGGCGTTCCTCAGGGTAGCGTGCTAGGGCCCCTTCTTTTTTTCATCATCATCAACAACCTTTAATAGTCCACTGCTGGACATAAGCAGTGGACTATTATTATTATTTACTATTTATGTAAACCTTCTCTTTTTGCTTTACATAAATGACCTTCCTGGGCAAATAAACCACCCCATGGTTCTGTTCGCCGATGATAGCACTGTAGTGATTAAGTGTGATGATCCCAATACTTATGAAAAAGAAATAAATACAACATTAAATAGAATTATATCATGGTTTGCAAATAATAATCTAATTAGAAATTGTTCTTATAAACGAAAAAACGAAACGAATATGTTCTTTATAAACTATCAAAAATACTAAGCCTAGAATCCGTACTAATGGCCTATTACGGTTACGCTGCATCAACACTGAGATATGGCGTAATATACTGGGGCAATTCAGTGGATAGAGAACTTGTATTTAAAGCCCAAAAAGGATGTGTCAGAGCTATGTGTGGTCTAAAAAGCACCGACAGTTGTCGACCGTATTTCATACGTCTAAAAATTCTTACCTTGCCATCTCTGTACATACACGAAACAAATATATTCGTGAAATCCAACATCTCATCATACAAACTAGCAACTAAAAGTTACTACAGAAAACTACGAGATAAAAATAAGTCGGAACTCCAAGTGACATATGGCAAAACTGCACTAATGAACAAAAGTACCTTCTGATTGGCCACCAAAATATTCAACAAATTACCTGAAAAAATTAAAACGCTAACTTTGGCCAATTTTAAAAGAGAAGTATTAAAAATCTTGATAAGTAAGTGCTATTACTCACTAAAGGACTATTTGGACGACAATTCTATAATTACTGCTTCAGAAAATTGTACAATACCTCGACTATCCTAATGATTTTGAATTCACATTAAATTAATTTGTTCGACATTTATTAAAATTGACTGTATTTTGTATTTATTTTGACATGCATGTGATTATTAATTATTATCATTGACGTTATTAATAATGTGGAAGTTTAAATAATCCTACAAATTTATGATATTTGAAAAAGTAAAACGTGTATATTTGTACGCCCCTGGGCAAAACATAGAGAACTTACCTATCAGTAACATCTCACACTCTATTGTAATTTGACCTATGTTTACAAATAAATGATTCTGATTCTGATTCCGAACACAGTTTCATGTAGAGCGATTGCGCGTTTCTATGGATAACTCATCTCAATGTTTTAATCCGTCGGCTTTAAATTGAATGGACATTAATTTGAACGATATCATCATAAATTTTTTTGTTAGGAAAATTATATTAACGTAGAACAGACACATCTATACTAATATTATAAAGCTGAAGAGTTTGTTTGTTTGTTTGTTTGTTTGTTTGTTTGAACGCGCTAATCTCAGGAACTACTGGTGTGGAACTTCAGAACTCAGGAACTTCAGTGTTAGATAGCCCATTTATCGAGGAAGGCTATAGGCTATATATCATCACGCTAAGAGCAATAGGAGCTGAGCACCAATGAAGAATGTTTCAAAAACTGAGAAAATTTATTACTATTGAGAGACGCAGACGAAGTTGCGCGGGTCAGCTAGTACAGTATAAATGACTGCACACGTGGCATAGTGGTTGAGGAGATCATCTAAATCGTACGGAATGTACTGACACGAGTGGCTTCGTTGCAGATCTGAAAGGATGCAAAAGTCGAGTCCGGTCTCGCTCACCGGGCGTAACGCGGCGCGGCGTCGGGCCGGAGCCGCACCTGGTGGGCGGCTACCACTGGGACTGCTCCGACTGGTGCGGCGGCGCCGGCGCGCTGCCCGGCATCAGCGAGGTGGCGGGCTCCGAGCGGCCCGACTCGTCTTCGCCCGCCTCGCCCGCCTCGCCGCCCGCCTCGCCCGCGCCTCGCCGCCGCCGCGCGCGCGCGCCGCCCGACAGCGACTCGGCGCCCGACGACTGCGACGCGCCGCGCCTGCCCGACGGTGAGCTCCGAACCGAACGAGAACGTTCATTCGGTCGGCGATCGGATCCACCCGCTGCAAAAAAATCTTAAAACATCTGGGTTTTCCGACCGAAAGCGTTCTGTGTGTTCACTTAAAAAATACGTTAAACGGTTAATTCTATTTCGATCGCTTCTCGTCCGTCGGTTCGTAACGAACCTTCGACGACAAGTACGATTCCATATCGACCGATAGTATATTTTTCAGTGTCGTCCTACCTGCTGCGTGCGTCGGACGCCGACTCGCTGCGCGCGCGGTCCCTGCGCGAACCCGACGCCGCCAGCCTCATCACGATGCTCGGTGAGTGTGCGACGGAAAAGTCGCGTTCGGAAGGAAAGCCACCCGTACCGATCCTCGAGTTCACGTCTCGCTCCTCGTTCGCAGAGGAACGCAACTCGCTGCTGGGCGGCGACGACGACGGCTCCGGCAGCGAGCTGTCCGCCAACCTGTGCGAGATCGAGGAGTCGGACGCGGAGACGGAGGCGCTGGCGCCCGCCGCGCGCCACACCGACGTGTGACGGCGGCGCGCGGCCCCCGCGCCGCCCCCGCGCCGCCGCGCCCCGGGCCCCTAGGCGCCCGGAGCCCCGGGCCCCCCGGAGCCTCTAAGGCCCCTAGGCCTACCGCACACTGTCCCGGCGTAGTGACTTTTTTGAACTTTTTTAAATAGTTACGCACAGATTTTCTACGAGATGCCGTCGACACGACGCGAACATATTTTAATGTAATACGAGTATAGTCGCTCTGATAAAATGTCGATGTTCGAACGTTTCGCGTTTGCCGTTTCTCGAGTTAAAAGGGGAGAGGGAAATGAATTACGAGACTTGTATATAACGTTATTGTAAGTATTAATATAATGATGTAGATAGGTGAACTTGTAAATAATATTGTACCGAACTGATCAAATTATATGTATGGTAATTCGTTCTGTACGACGTGAGTGCACGTGCGCTTCTCCGCCGGTACCTGCCGGTCACGTGAGCGGAGCGCTCGCTGTTGTGTCGGTCGTGAGCCGGACAGGTCGAGTTGTGACGTCGTCCGGCACGAGCGACCGCCGGTCTAACATATATTAATGAAATGATGCTCCAATCGTAGTTTCATATCATACTGTAACTGTGCATTTAATCGTCGAGTAGTCGATGCGTTCTCCTCCTAGACTAGTGTGAATTAAACGATCTATTTTTGTATGTACAAATGCAAGGCTCACCCGTCGGCCGGACACGCGTCCGCCGGAGCGTCTGTATCTTTTTTTTATAAAGAAAGATTTATAAAACGTAACTTATTGAATCGTTGTGTAATTTTGACACGACCAATAAAGACCTACTTGAAAGCAAATATTTTTATTTGATTCCTTCCCTCTATCAACATACATATTCTTGACAAATATGTGTACCATATACCCTTAATTTTGACACGACCAATAAAGATGTACCTGAAAGCAAATATTTTTATTCGATTCATTCCCTCTATCGACATATACTTCGCAAATCTATGTGCCATATACAATTAATTTTATAAATATTGAGGTGCACTATACTTCCATTTCATAAAACTACAAACCAAGGTGTTGAGTCGTCTTGCAACCGTTATCGGTTAAAGTTGATATCAATTCTACATCAAAAAAATTGATATGTTTGTGGTTAGGGACTAATCATTTGTCAAGTCAAAATAACTTTATTTTAGAAAAAAATCATAGATCAACACAGTAGCAACAATCTGTTTTGTCAAATATTTATCAAAATGAACTACAACGACAACCGCCCGTTCCCAAGGAGTTGAGCCTTATGAGAAAAAACGGCAAACAAACTCAAGGCCACTCTTGCAAGCGGTTTTATTTAACTTAACCTGAGGTCAAATTTTCTACTGGTATAGCTCAATTTTGTATTTGACAAAATCAACTTCAATAATTAATAACTCATCTCCTAAAAGTTAAAGTTATTTAAACTAAACCACCTTATTATTTTTGACAGAACAATCTACTGCTTACGATATCTACAGGAAAACAGGAATTATTGTAACCCCTTCCTCTTGACCGATTGATTCGGTACACATTTTTAGTTCTGAAGACAAAACAATAATATATGTGTGTTGTGATTTTCGGGATGGTTCAGGTCTGGAAGTCTGGTAAGTGTAAGACAGGTATTGGGTGTACCCTCCAACAATTTGTTACGAGAGATTTGGTGTGAACGCGTGACGCCGTATGCAGCGCACTTACGACTTTTTGGGCGCGACCGCTAGATACCGTGCTTCCGAGAGCCTTTATTAGTGTGCAATTCAGACTAAAAATAATATTGGTTTGCTGATTGATGATACCGGAGCCTTAGTTGTTGTGCACTTATAGCGAGGGACAATATTAATATTATTCGTTGATCTTGAACTCTTCTATTGATAGCTTGACTGAACCTATGGTTACTTGGGGTTGCTGTACCTTGAGGGGCACGGGGGGAAAATCTAGAAATAAAATGTGTGCCCCAGGCAAATAACGAGAATTTGTTCAACGTGGTATCTAAGTTGGGTGAAACCGTAGGCTGCGACATTAAGGAGGAAAGTATTACTAATTGTACGCGCGTTATGAAACAAAATAATGCCAATAATCGTCCAAAATCTATAATTGTTCAATTTAGCACACCTAAACTACGAGACACTTTTTAGGCCGCATCGATAACCTTCAATAAATCTAAACCAATAAAGGAAAAGTTAAACACTTCACATCTCAGCTTAGATAGTGATAAGACTCCCATCTACATTATTTTTTAAATGGGACTAATCCCACCCACACGCCCACCACTGTAACTCCTGTACAAAAGGATCCACAGCAGTGACCTACGAACACACCGAGTTATGACACTCGGGAAGTCCCAGGAAGAAATTAAACTGTCTTGGAACCCGCAACGAAATTAATCAGAAGAAAATTGGAGGAGTTGGAAATACAGTAAATCCACTTCCCTCCTTAGCAAAGCGGGAGACAAAAAGAAGTAAAATAGGCATACACCCTTTTAAACAGGGAAGCACCACGGCCACAAAATATTACGGGTCCTACGTGAGCTATATTTGATTTCTATAATATGTATGGCAGAATCGCCTAAACGCACGAAAATTCACCCCAGTTGACACAAGATCCCCAGAGGATATGATGAGCAGATTGTTCATAGTGAGAGTTAGGTGTTGAGCATTGACATAATGGTGACTCGACTAATTTAAATGAATAGAACTTGCTCTCAAAAAGTTGGTGGTGCATCGGGGGTATTGTGAATAATAAGATTCATTTCCGCAATGAAATCTTCAACCGCACAACGTCGAACCGTGTCGGTTGAACGCAACTTTCCATACCATAATGAAGATGACGCATTGACATCAGCGCCAATGATAATTTTATGTCCCACGAGGAACTGCAAGACGTAACGTAAGTGATATAAGTGAGGATCAATAGGATGTGAATATTGAAATTAGCGGCTCACTACGTAAACCTTACAGGTAGAGGATGAGATCTCAGCAACGGCGCAGTGTGACATCATAAGATTACGCAAAGATGTTACCGTAAAATTAGAACTTGCAACATATATCCCAGCCTGCGAACGGCAGTCAAGCTGTACTACATTACGACGCAAGCGAGCGCTCTGATATTGTTTTTGTATAAGGACAATGTCTAACTTTTGTTCTAAAATTAAATGGTCTAATTCTGATGTAGCTATTTTATCGTTATGAAGATTTAACTGGCCTATCGAAATATTATTCATTACTTAGTAAGTTACTCTATAAATATATATTTTTTTCTTTTTTAAGCTAAATTAAACTATTCAGTAATTGGTATTTAATATTAGCTGTTCCAGTTTTAATTTGTATGTGGCACAGTCGTGTGAGCCGCATCGATGGTCAGATGGTCACTGACACTGCCTCCGCCCTAGGGCGACTTTTGCCCAATTTGGGCGGAGCCAGTGTTCCCACGAGGCGGCTGTACGCGGGGGTTGTCCGGTCCATGGCGCTTTATGGTGCACCGGTGTGGGTGGCGGCTCTGACCGCCCCGAATAGGGCGCGCCTCTGGCGCCCCCAGAGGATATTGGCAGTTAGAGCCATACGCGGATACCGCACGGTGTCCACCGAGGCGGCTTGCGCCTTGGCCGGAACACCCCCGTGGGATTTGGAGGCGGAAGTGCTAGCCGAAGTTTATCGGCGAGTGGCTGACTTCCGGGCGGAGAGCGGATTTCGCCCTCCGCCCGAAGACGTGCGCGAGTGGCGCGAAGCCGCTCGCCGAGCCACTATGGTGAGATGGTCGTTCCGGCTGGAGACTCCACGCGCTGGCTTCGCCGCCGTGGAGGCTCTCCAGCCGGTCATCGCCGAGTGGGCAGGGCGGCAGCACGGGACCCTTTCCTTCCGGCTGACGCAGGTGCTTTCCGGGCACGGTTGCTTCGGAAAGTACCTGTACTCGGTCGCTAGGAGGGAATCGAGTCCCGCCTGCCACCACTGCGACTGCGGTGAGGATTCGGCCCAGCACACGCTGGCGGTTTGATCCGCATGGGCGACGCAGCGCCGGGCCCTCACTGCAGTCATCGGAGCAGATCTCTCGCTACCGGCCGTAATTCGCTCCATGGCCGGTAGCGACAGTTGTTTTACCGCGGTCGCAACCGGCGGCGGAGAAGGCCCGAGAGGACGACCTCCACTCGGACCTGATCCGCCGCCGGCGAACCGGGCGGCGGAGGCGCGCTCACCTGCGCCTCATGCCGCCCTGAGTGTGGCCGCGGGTGGACGGGATGGGTTCTCCCCTCCACCCGCATTAGTTGGCCAGCCGCGAGGGGGCGGCGTCCGCGTGTGCCGGACGCCGCCTAAAGAGAGGGTCCACTGAGACGGAGCCCGCGCCAGGAGCGGGCCGGCGCTGGGAGGGGTCCAGAAGGAGATAACTACCTGGACCCCTCCTAAACTGGAAGCGCAAAGAGGGCACACCGTGTGGTTTTAGTCGGTTCGAGTCCGACACACCGCCCCGCCGAACGAGAGCCCCGGCGGGGTGACGGTCCGAGGGGATTTCCACACGTAAAAAAAAAAAAAAAAAAAAAGGTTAGGTTCCCCTAACCTAACCTTTTTTTTTTTTTTTTTTTCGTGCTGGCTAGAAAACCTCCTCGTGGTGCACCCTGGAAACGCTGGCGATGGCACTGTTTCCTCCTTGTCCTCTTGGAGGAAGAGGATTATCGCCAGCGGCTAATATTCTAGCAGAAGAGGTAGCCGTTCATCGGCTCTCTGGCAAGGCCTGGTCCAGCAGGGTGGGCGTGTCTGCCGGTTGCCCTGCTGGCTCTTCGCTCTTCGGAGCATGGAGGAGGAAACCTCGGTAAAAAACCAGAAGGTGGGGCCCTGTAGGGGCCAGTTTCTCCGCTGATAGCGGTGGAGAAAGGAGGACGGGCTCGGCGTGTACTGACACTACCACCGAGCAGGCAGGGGGACGTAGTCACCTTGTCACCGTCGGCATATCGTAATCCCTGTGCTGCGCGCTGCGCTGTGGTCAAGTCTCGCGGCTCTGATCGGGGACGAGGGT